GAGAGAGGGAAAGTTCAATGTATAGCTTTTCATTTCCTGCAACATAGTTGATTTCATACACCATTTATCCCTAGACAAATTTATGCTAATTTTAAAATGGCTGCATTGAGGACTTTAATGTGCCAGAGAGTTGATGGTGGAATATAGCTGGTTTCATGTAACTGGGACTGGAATAGAGAAACTACCAGGTTGAGCCAAGAAGCTTGTGTCCTAGTCTCGGTGCTGTTACTACCTAGCCGTGTGACATTAATCAAGTCATTTGTTTAGTATAGATGTCAGTTTCTTCATTTATTAAACTAGATTAGTTGTGATAGTTAACACTGGATGATCCTTTACTAACCCTTTTGATGTTCTCTGTTTTGTTTTGTTTTTTTTTGGAGACAGAGTCTTGCTCTGCCTAGGCTGTAGTGCACTGGATGCGATCTTGGCTCATTTGCAACCTCTGCTTACCAGGTTCAAGCAAAACTTCAGCCTCAGCCTCCTGAGTGTGCCTCAGGCTCAGATTAAAGGTGTGCACCACTATGCCCAGCTAATTTTTGGTTTTAGTAGAGATGGAGTTTTGCCATGTTGCCCAGGCTGGTCTCAAACTCCTGACCTCAAGCGATCCACCTGCCGCAGCCTCTCAAAGTGCTGGGATTACAGGTGTGAGCCACCGTGCCTGGTCTGGTGTTAAGTTCTTCTAAGCCAGTGACTTTCAAATTTATTTTTTAGTATGACCTACAATGAGTATATTTTATATTGACTCAGTACGCACATTTATCGATTTCTTTACATACACACATACATAAGTATGACATATATGTTATATACACATGCATATGTGCATACACATATGAAATGAAACTGAAGGTTCCATGAAACAATACTTACCTTTGTTACCTCAAATGCATTGTGGCATTATTTTTATTTATTTTTTTGAGATAGAGTCTTGCTCTGTTGCCCAGGCTGGAGTACAGTGGCACAATCTTGGCTCACTGCAACCTCCGCCTCTGGGTTCAAGCAGTTCTCCCTGCCTCAGCCTCCTGAGTAGCTGGGATTACAGGCTTCCGCCACCATGCCCGGCTAAATTTTGTATTTTTTAGTAGAGATGGGGTTTTGCCATGTTGGCCAGGCTGGTCTTGAACTCCTGATCTCAGGTGATCCACCTGCCTTGGCCTCCCAAAGTGCTGGGATTACAGGCATGAGCCACCGCACCCAGCCCATTGTGGTAGTTTTAATTCTATTTCATTAAGAAAAAGCTGGTCAATTCCCATTCAACTGACTTCATGACCCACAGTTTGACAATCAGTTTAAATAAGCACAATCCTGCAACTGGAGGAACTGCCTCCAGGTGACTGCATAGGTTAAGGGCTAAAATTCTAATCACTGAAAGAGAAACTTAATTGTGTAGACACAATCCACATATTGAGTGAATATGCTATAATTTTAGTGGAAAATTATGACACTCTAAGTAAAAACAAACACTAAGTACAAATATTCACTATCGGTGAAGTTGCTTGTTTTAAGCTCTGCATGATTGAACTCTAGCTTTTTATGCTTCTAAGAATGAACTTTTTTGAAAACTTCCTTTCACCTGTTACACTAAGGAACCCTAGTTTTTTGATAAAGAGATAATTTTCCATTTATAAACAATCCTCTTTAAAGTTTTTGTAGCTTTTGCAAGAGTAATTTTTAAAAGCTCTTGAATTTTTACAACTTTTTTTTTTTTTGAGACAGTGTCACCGAGGCTGGAGGGCAGTGGTGCAATCACAGCCCACTTCAACCTCCACCTCCCAGGCTCAAGGGACCCTCCTGCCCTCAGCCTCTCGAGTAGCTGGAACTACAGGTGCATGCCACCTTGCCCTGCTAATTTTTGTATTTCTTTTGTAGAGACATGGTTTCACCATGTTGCCCAGGATGGTCTCAAACTCTTGAACTCAAGTGATCCACCTGCCTCAGCCTCTGAGAATTCTGGGATTACAGGCATAAGCCACCATTCCTGGCCCTGAATTCTTGTGTCTTAGCTGATACTCAAGCATCCAGGGTAATGGGTGATTCATTTAGGTCCATAATCCAAGGATGAGAAAACTGGGTATGATTTTCCAAGCAGTGTTCCCCTTTCAGTTTTAATCACACACGCTTTTATATGTGAACAACCACCACTGGTATTAAAGATACCTTCAACAGTTCAACTATCTAATGGAATATTTCATTTAGCTGAGAGAAATATCAAGTACCTTCTTCAAAAGGTTACATTTCAAAAAATGCCCTTTCAGATAACACTTCTAAATAGAAGATGATCATGGTTTGTTATTTTGAAAACAGGACATGGTTGGGCACGGGGGCTCACGCCTGTAATCCCAGCACTCTGGGAGGCCGAGGCGGGTGGATCACGAGGTCAGGAGATCGAGACCATCCTGGCTAACACGGTGAAACCCTCTCTCTACTAAAAATACAAAAAATTAGCCGGGTGTGGTGGCAGGCACCTGGAGTCCTAGCTACCCAGGAGGCTGAGGCAGGAGAATGGCGTGACCCTGGGAGGCGGAGCTTACAGTGAGCCAAGATTGCACCACTGCTCTCCAGCCTGGGCGATACAGCAAGACTCTATCTCAAAAAAAATTTTTAAAAAGGACATAATCTCCATTTATTAGCTTGCAATGTTTATTATACAATGAACTTAATGACAAAAAGATTTTATGCCATTTCCATATATTGTACTTCACCCCATACTTCTTATACAAGAATTACAACAAATCCTAAAGTTAAAGTTTTGAAATGGTTAAACCTTAGATTTGGCTTATTTCTATTTATCTTTTATTATACTTATCCTCATCTAATGGCAACTATGTACCAGAAGACTTGCAACTCTGCAGCTGCTCTGTGAGGCTGGATCACTGGGATAGGAGTAGGGTCTAATAATTGTGTCTTTGTGTCTTGACCTTTATCTTGTAACTTTCTCAATCTTGTCAACTCAACTTTTTAATATCATAGCAATGTCTGTATTGAAAATTAACCCTCACCCCTAACTTTGGATCTGCAGCAAAGAGCCAGAGAACTCCACTTTCAGGCTAATAATTGTTGGCTTCACATGTACAGTGTTGGAACTGCTACTTGTCCTTCCCATGTGGCATCACCACCCCCTTTTTTTTTTTCCCAATATGGCATGAGCTAATCTTTCGAGTACATATAATTTCCATCAAATGTATGTTACATTGTTGAAGAGCAATCAGAATTTTTTTTCCTGAAAAACCCCCTTTTCAGGATATATTCCTGTTTAATTTTCTATAGCTGGGTAAGCACACTGTACTATTCCTGGGGCTATTTTAAAAATACTGTCTGTGCTGATCCAAATCAAACAGACCTTTAGAGGGTACTGACAATGATGTCTTCATTGAATATGATCACTGCTAAAGCTTTAGCTCCTTGTTTGCTCTGTAATGCTGTGCCAAGATCCTGGCCTTTAGATGTTCCCAGAATCCCTGGAAACATTAGTTATTTGTTTGTGAGTATCAGCATTAGAATGGTTTTGCATTCACAACAAAATGTGAATCTCTTATGGGGTTGAAGTTGTTTTCTTTACCTAACCATAAGACTTGAAGCCAGTCAGAACAGAATTTTAAGTAATATCCTGTGTTGATGCATTTATAAAACATACCAGAAGTCAGAGTAACAGGATTCTTTTTTCTTTTTTTTCAACCTTTGGTATAAAATTTTTCCCTAAATATTAAAGCATTAACATTTAAACATTCTGAGGGATATTGATGAGAACTATGATTAAAGATTCATAATATTTCACTTTTAAAACAAACTTTAAAAACTACTCTTCAGATCCTAGCCTGATGACTTAAAATTACCAGCAGGGTATCATAAAAACAACCCTAACACTCAAAATGGGTTTTAAATATCATAAAGGCTAAACATTATGGTTCTACCAAGAGAAAACACTAAGAATATGAGCAGAAATAACATTTCACAATTTCTGTTACAATACACTAGTAATTGATTCTCTTCTATTTTGGCTACATTTTGAGTAATAGAACAGAAGCATTTAACAAAATGGGTCCTTTTAAAAAAACAGAAAAAGGCAAGTCAATACCAAGAACCAAGCATACTCCCATCAGTGGGAACAGGGGGCATAGGGAGTGCAGCCCACCCAGTGGTTAGGTAACTTGAGAGCCACCATCCACTTCTCCACTTGCCCTCTGGTGCGTGCCAGCCTTGGTGCCAGGGCAGCAGGGCCCTGATGCATGTGGAGAGGCAGACAGTTTCATTGGCACCTCAGGCCGAAGTCCAGGCAGAATTTGGCCTTGTGGAGTTCCTGTTGTCTTGCCAACCCATGGCACTCCCAGGACACTGCTAGGAGAACGCTGGCCAAATCCTGCATGAGAAGTCACCTCCATCACAGTCCCCTCAATGTTGGGGGTCAGACTACAGGAAACCGCTTTTATCAGACTTTGTGGTGTCTGTACACTAGCCAAGGAAAGTAAGAGAAAGAAAAAGAAAGCAACTTGTTTAATCTCGTCTAACAGAAAGGAAAGGATTCTCCAAAGTAGTTGATCTGGGAATGAAGCCCAACATCCCTAAATCTCAGCTCAGTTTACTAGTTTTTCATTTACCAGTGGTTTTTAGAAACTTATTATGATCCTATCTATTCTGGGCAACTATATCATTGGTTTCTCAAAGACAGAGTGGCCCAAAGCCGTTGTTGCACACATACAAAATAATCTATGTACCGTTTGACAATAATCTATACATAAAGCACATTCAGCCATACACATATCTCCATAGTACAGACACATATTTTAAAAATATTTAAAAGCAGAGATTCTCAAAAAGAGGTCTTCATTTGCCATTCTTAAGGCGACTACTAGGAAATATCACTTTCAATAAGGTTCCTCAAACACCACATGTGTATGCAGATGCAGCGATGGATATTCACATACCTGTGTATAGATGTTCAGAAACAAACATGACCATCACACATGTGTGCAATCTCTTTTCCGAACCAATAAAGACAATGCTTTCCTAAGAAATGTTTGAATTTTATTGTACTTTCTTTTTTAAAAGAAAAGAGAATATCATAATCTTACACAATTTCTTTCGAATGGATAAACTTAGACAATTTATCAACGCTTCCTTACATTTTTACACCACACTGAACTCCAACAGGTTTTTGTTTTAAGGTAAACCAGGTTTTTGGTCCTTCCCTGTGGAGAAGTTACTTTCAAGTCAGTGAAAGTTCTTGGCCCATGATTAAAAGTCTTTGCCAATTAGTACTCAACAACTTCAATTCATTTTTTTCTGGTTCAAGATGAGTAGGAGCCTAATAAGGCTGTGATAAAAGGGCAAAAGGCACTGAGAGCCAAAAGCGGATTAATGAGCTCCTCCATTTATTTGTCTTCCTAACAGCTGAACTGTTACAACTATTGACACTCTTCAAAAGGTTCCGCTCTGAACCCTGTCCAGGCACTGCAGGCTCCAATGGACATCTTCAAATCCAGAGAATGGAGGGGCAAGAGCTTCCCCTGTGTGATGCCAAAACCAACAAAGCCCCATGGATCAGGTAATGAAACTTCAGCTTTTCCCCCTTTGAGATTTATTTACTGGCAGCTGACAAGGGGCAAATTCAGCTCGAATTGTGCAGTCAAGGCCCTGTCAAGCTTTTAGAGGCACCCTTGTCTTGAAGCACCTTCATGACTGGCATTTCACTCAAAAGCCCTCGGCACTGGTCCTTAACAGCTTATGACATCACAAAGGACACTCCAGACAGATGCCTACATGGCATCCTGCAGCATTTTAAAAGAGAATTAGTGGTTTTAATTATGGTCGTAGTATGAAAGGGAACCATGCAAGCTCCACAGGAGACCTTTGATCAGACCCTTTTGCTAGTACAATGCCACGGAACTGTGACTATTCCTGGTAAGGGGCCTTTTCTTGCTGAATGACTCACCAGTGATCTTTGAATGCAGACAAGCTTCTAGCCCTCCCTCTTCATTAGTGAGCATTTCTATACAGGGGCCTATATAGTGCTTGGAGTCTAGGAGCTATACAATTGGGGGGAAAAGAAGCCCTACACATTCTGGCCTCTACTTAGGAAGTGCTGAAGGACTCTGAGTGACTTTATTCATTAAAACAGGTTGCTATTAATTAACTGTCATAATAAAATAAAGAACTATTATTTGCATTTCTTACTATGTTCTCTTTAGTAATATGTATAAAAGATGCTTGTAACAGAAATGAATTTATTGAGCCACTTCCCCCATCCCCCCCAATCCCTGCCATTTTTTTCCCCTTTGCATTTTGGCAGCAAGAGCCTACTAATTATTGGGCCTAGATCTCTGAGTCCAGATAGAAATAAAACATAAATATAAAATTAATTAAGAAAATGCAAAATCCTTTTTACTCACCAGTTTCTGCAACTGAAATAAGCAAACATCAAATTAGCTTTTTTTTTTTTTCAGTGATTTCCGAGAACGATCTAAGACAGTAAAACACAAACTTTTTTCAAAATATCACCCACTTGGTGCTTAGCTTGAAGTGTAAGACTATGTAACAACTATAGCTACTTTGTAAAAAATGTACTCTCACCTAAAGCCTAACATGATTCATTCTTTTTGTTCAGGAAACAGAAAATGTCTTTGGTCTGGTATTAATATCAAAAGAATTTAACTTTAAAACTGATTCCAATAAGCATGGCCCTTAAACAGTTCATGGTCAGTATTTAGTTATATGAAAATGGTTCATTCTCTTCTAGAATCTAATCCAGCGCAGTCATCTGGTAAAAGACTGGAAGTCAGAAGACTTTTCATAAAGCTTCTCACTGAAATGGTAATTTGGTAACATGGGATAAACAGAATTTTGCATAAATAGTAGATCTTAGTCACTGAACACCCCATTAAACAGTACTGCTGGACCATGTTACTTATATCTGGGAGATGACTTAGTTTTAAATTTTTTATGCAGCTTCTTTTCTTGAAGAAAAAACTTCCGGACTTCAGAATTTTGGAAGCTGAATGATGAGCAGGTTTTTCATATTTTGCTGTGTCAGACATTTTTCCTGTTTCTCAGACTTTGCAGTTCTTTTCTCAGGTGCTTTAGAGCACCTAAAATATCAGCTTGCTGTGGATCATTCCGTGCTTTCTGAGAGTACAGACGGAAATGTCTGATGGTTTCAGATAACAGCACTTCAGGGTCTGCATCTCTTGCCTGAAGACGCAGCATCCGCTCACAGGCAATGGCATAGTTCTTGTGCCAATTCACTGGGTGCTCCTTTTGCAAATAGACAATCTCCTTATAAAGCTAGAAAACAGCAGAAATGTTGGTATTCCATTGTTATTCTTTGACTTTTTTTTTCAAAAACAAACAAAAAAACCACAGAGGAATTAATAACAAGAAACAAAAAATTCAAGCAGTCTCCAGTAAAAATCTAATCATTGCTAGGCCATGCAGAAAATGCAAGAATGTTACTGTAATTATTACAGTAGCAGAAGGCAAATATGCTGCATCTAAAACTGCTTCTGAGGTTTTCGGATGTTGCAGGGGAAACCTAAGACACACTGTGTTAGGACAAAATACTCTTCCTCCAGAAAGATGTCCTTCTGGGGAAGGGATTTAGTTTTAATTCATGGAAAGCTATTTACTCAACAGGCAGAAGAGTTGAAACTCTAAATTTAGCTGTTGGAGGAAAAAGAAACAGCTTTCTTTAGAAGACTGCCTGGAAAAAGAACTTGAAGGAATTTAAATTTTTGTACCACATTTTTGACAGAAATTTCTCTCTACATTAAAAATAACACTAATAACAATAGCAACGATAAAACAATCCAGACAAATTCATCATCACAGAGGCTGAGTGTGACAGAATTTAAGAGATATCCTTAAAGTGAGATACTGAAAAGCTTCACAGTATCCTGTAATTTACAATTTTGATAGTTAAAACTTTGCCCATAGGAATTTAGAATTTTGCTTTTCAACATGAGAGAGAGTATTAATTGTATAGAGTTAGATTTTTTGATATTGAGTTTTCTAGAGGAAACACATCAAAAATTTAACAAATAAAACATATAAATCTGCAAAATGGAATATTACAGTTGCTTATTTGGGAATCTCACAGCTTTCTTGGAGATTGTCAAGTTAGAGCTGTATTCACAGGCGTTTAACCTGTAGACTTTCTGAGACCACAGGAAAGCAATAGTGCTTTCTCCGAGGGACAAGTGCTTTTTGAATTAGACATGACATCGTTTAGTTAAAAGAAACCCAATCATATTATCTATTTTTCCAATTCCTACTCCAGGGCAGACAAATGCATACCTATTTTAAAATACCACCCTCACGAAAAATTCCATAATCCATGTTTGATATATTGTTTCAATAGTCAACAACCCTCAGTCATCCAGCTGCCTTTTAAAGCAAATTTCCCCTTAGTTCCCTTGATTTTACACAATAGGGAAGAGGCTGGGTATGGTGGCCCATACCTGCAATCCCTGCACTTTGGGAGGCCGAGGCCAGAGGATTGCTGGAGACCAGGAGTGGGAGACCAGCCTGGCCCACAAAGCAAGACCCCCATCTCTAGTTATAAAAAATAAATAAATAGAAAAGAAAGAAAAAATGGGAAAGAATCACCACGCGCTTTCATATACATCAAGATTACTGTGAGCCTCCTACCCTTTTATCCTCTTGGTAAAATATTCAAAGTTGCTTTACCCTTTTCCTCATCGTTTTTTCTCCAGTGGTTTCTCTTCCTGAGGCCTCCTCTGATAAGACACGGATATAAAGGCTGTAGCATGCTGCCCTACACAAAGTAGGCATTCAGGAGCTGTCCAGTTTTCAAAATCCTACTAAGTTTTTTTTTTGTTGTTGTTGCTTTACACATACCAATTTTATTTTGTAAATTAAGTATAATACATATTTCTATAGAAATATATACCTGTTAGATTCATGTTTGCTACTTTTTTATTTTTAATTTTTGCAGGTACACAGTTGGTGTATATATTTATGAGGTACATGAGATACTTTGATACAGGCCTGCCATGCATAATAATCACATCAGAGTAAATGGGGTATCCATCACCTCAAGCATTTATCCCTTCTTTGTGTTACAATCCAATTATACTCTTCCAGTTATTTTTAAATGTATCATAATGTTGTTGGCTGTAGTTACCCTGTTGTGCTATCAAATACTAGATTGTATTCATTCTGTCTAACTATATTTTTGTACCCATTAACCATCCCCACCCCACCAACCCACACTAAGGTGCTGAAGTCCAAAGTAGATGCCAATACTTCCAGGAGCATTTCCCCAACTGCTCCAGAGAATGGAGGCTCATTCATGACCCACCTACTAGTCTTCAGGCAGCAGGACACCTTCAAATTATGCAATTTATTCCTATAGGAATAAATTGGCTATTCCCTGCCCTGCTCCCCCACCATGCCTAAATTATTAAGTCACCTGAACTTAATATTCTGTATGAGCTATTGAGTAGGATAATGTAAACAGCAACAAAAATATATTCTTTACACCTAACAAGAACATTCTTGAAAAACTAGCACTAGGGGTGGTAATTAAGTAATTACCATGAAGTAATTGGCCTCATTTGTCTTGTAAACATTGTCACACATCTGGAGACTATGCAAAGGAGATACCAATAATCTGTATTCACTGAAAAAAAATAGAGCTTGCTGACCCAAAGGGACAACAAATCCACAAGCGAGCTTTAGTAGTAGCCTAACAACGCACCATGGAAGCGGTCACTGATGAGAATATAAAATATCAGTAAGTCTCAGCTTTCTCGCAACTAAATATTACTTGTTTTTCAAAGAATTACAAGGTATTAGAGATAAACAGGATTATTATATGAACAGGATATGAAAGACGATCTTTTCAAGTTTAAAGCCCATTTTCTTTTTTAGAAAAAAAAAAAAAAATAAAGGCCTGGAGAGGTTCATTGACTCACAGTTGACAATTAACGGCAGAGTGGGCCTAGTAGCTGGGCCTCCCTACTGCCAGACAGAACTCCAGCATGCTGCCTTCTATAATCGGGTATCTTGCTGTCCTCAAGTGGGGTGCCTCAGAGGGTTCTGCCTTTGCCCCCATGGCTTGCTCCTTATGGACTGCTCTCCCCTCCCTCTCTCGCCTCCTTGCCCTACCATCTGTCTGGTTAGCTCCTTCTGATCTTTCAAGATGACACTCCAATGACATCCCCTCTGGAAGCCTTCCCTTCCTTCCTCCCTCACCAGCCTACTCCCCAGCTTGCTCCGGTCCAGTGCTCTGGGTTTCCGTAGCACCTCTGCGTGCCTCTCACAGCACTCTCAAGTCTGAACTGTGACTGAGGACTTGATCTTCTGTCTCTCTCTCTAGCCTGCCACCTTTTTGATAGCAGGGATAAGACTTAACTGTCTGCAGCACACTATTTGCTATGGAGTGGGTGCTCAAGAAATGCCTTGTGAGTGAATATAAGTGAATAAACAAGGAACCAGAGATCACAATTGAGGAGTAAAAGTAGTCATACTGATTGGACACCATGCTATTTTGTCTTAGCACCAAACATTTGTCCTGGCTGAGTAGAATCACAGCAGTCTAGAGATGGCAGAAATAGCTCAGCTGCTCATATATACAGGTCCTATCCTCTGTTTTCATTGGCCCTTGTCAGGATATTAGTTTCCTACAGAGCAGACTCTGCAAGTGTCTGAAGTGCCCAGCGCCATAAGTCACAGCAAAGCAGAGACTTGGTTACAAGAGTGCCACAGCAAGCCTCCTGTATCTGCTCCCACTTCCCATCAGAGAGGACCGATGTGTGCAAGATCTTCAGTGTGGCTGTGTCTTCCGAAGGTTCATTTGGCTTCCTGGGGCCACAGTTAGAAGACAGAGCCACCCTCCATGACTCTCTCTCTTCTCATGAAATCTCAACAAGCCACGGCCCTATCATTTCAAGTGGAGCCAGGGTCATGACTTCTGCAGAGAGAGTAACCAGCTAGAACTTGTTTTATATTAAGCTGTTATATTCGTTTCCTATTGCCATTGTAACAAATTACCACAAACACAGTGGCTTAAAACAACATACAATTATCACCTCGCACTTCTGGAGGTGAGAAGTCATAAAACCAGCATGACTGTGCTCCTTCAGGAGGCTCTAGAGGAGAATCTGTTTCCTTACCCTTTCTTACTTCCTCCAGAGGTGGCCTGAACTCTTTTACTCCTGGCCCCTTCCTCCATCTGCAAAGTCAGCATGTAGAATCTTCAGGTCTCTCTCTGCCCTCTGCGTCTGCATCAGGTCTACTACTCTGACTCTCACCTGCCTGCTTCCCTTTCATGAGGACCTTTATGATTATGTTGGGCCCACCTGGATAATCTGGGATAACCCCTGTCTCAAGACCCCTAACTTAATCCCCCCCACCCCTGCTTCGTTACATAGGTAACATATTCATAGGTTGTGGAGATTAGGACATAGACATCTTTTTTTGGGTGGGAGGTATTATTCTGCTTACCAGAGCCATTTACTTTGGATATTATGATACAATTGAGGATTTGTTCATATGTGCTGCTTTATAACGCCCAAATTAAGAGGGAAATAAAAGAATAAAAATTCTAATGTGATATACCCTCTATCCATCCCGAACAATCACCATCACCTTCCCACCAAATATATCTATATCTATATATAAAAGTATAACATACATCATATGCATGAGCGTAGAGTTGAGCTTTCACTTTTGAAGGCATGTGAGCAGTTTCTGCCAGGTTAAAGATGAAGAATGGTGTTTTCATCCTGGGGGTGGGGATAGGAACCTTCATTAAAATCATACAGTCAATTGCACATTCAGGGCTAAATCTTCCAGGCTTCTCTACTGATAAGGGATGTACAAAATTCTTTATTGTATTATTTTCAATTCTCTCATATTCATGGACATTTGCTCTGAACCAACAACAATCCCTCCACCAAACCGCCAAGATGCTGCATTCACACTAATGACTAAATCTTTTAGGAAAAAAGCCTACACTCGTCATCACTATTATACACTGTTCATCCTCCAAATGTACATTATTGTTATGCAAGAGAAGCCAGGAAAAGGGAAACCTGCTGAGTTAGCCAACACATCCCTTAAGGTACCCATCATGAAGCTCATGCCATGTGTGCCCAGTTCTTCCAAGGTGACTAGACCCTTAGACCCCATGAACTCATCCAGGTTGTATTCAGAACACCAATTAAATCAATACCTGTGTAAATAATGACCTGCTTTCTTCTTTTATGTGATTTCTTCCCAGCTTTCCCACATTCAATCACAGTAAATTGTGCAAACATACGGTATATCCTTGATCTATATTTACAATCATTATTTTGCAGCTGTATTTCTTGACCACTATTTAAAAACCTCTTCGAACTTATGTAAGCTCTTTGTATCATAACTGTTCTCCGTGTACAGTCCCTGGCTCAGACTGGACATCAATACATTTTTGCTGAAGGAAACACTCCCTATGTACAAGATACTCCGTCTGCATTACTTAGGACTTTTACATTAATACTTAGGCCAAAGTTTGTTAGTGTTATTATGATTTAAAAAAAAAAAAACAATGACAGGAACCAAAAGAAGTTGCATCACTATGAAATGTTCCATACAGGACAGGATGACATCTCTCTTCTCTGAACTACAGGAAAGTATAGGCTCCATCAGATTAATATTCTCATCTCCTTTAACATGTCTGTCTGCTCATTAGACTATGCACTTCATGAGGGTAGGAACTGTGTCGTATTCATATGTGTAGCTTCAATGCCTAGCACGGTGCCTGGCCTCCAGTGAGTATTAAATAAGTGCTTAACTAATTAACAGGCACATTACAAATGGAGGCAAGATGGTAATGATTAATTTCTACTCAATCAATTACACTCACTTTAAGGCAAGAAAGCATAGGAGAGATGAGTGTTCCAGAGGCAGACAGATGTGAACTTTGGACTCCATCAATAGCAGCAGTGTGCCCTTGGACAAGTAGCCTTTCCACATCCAGTTTGTTCTTTTATTAAACAATAACCTCAGAGGTTATTGTGTGGATGAACTGAAATATTCACGTATGATTAGCACAGTGCCTCAAAAACGTAATTGCTCATAAATGTTATTTTCATTATCACTACTCACCCCTACTCTTGAAATTAAAACTGCCATAGGCTACTTCCCTGTCATATTAAAAATAGACTGCACACACAAAAATGTAGATTAGTCACCTCGCTTGCCACATTTCTTCATTGGCCACAGATTCCCAAGAAGATGGATCAAACCTGTAGTTACAAGAAAACAGTAATATTTTTCTGTCATCCACATTTTTTTTTTTTTTTTTTTTTTTTTTGAGAAAGAATTTTGCTCTTGTTGCCCAGGCTGGAATGCAATGGTGCGATCTCGGCTCACTGCAACCTCCACCTCCTGGGTTCAAGTGATTCTCCTGCCCTGGCCTCCCAAGTAGCTGGGATTACAGGCACCCGCCACCACATCCAGCTAATTTTTGTATTTTTAGTAGAAATGGAGTTTCACCATGTTGACTAGGCTGGTTTCGAACTCCTGACCTTAAGTGATCACCTGCTTTGGCCTCCCAAAGTACTGGGATTACAGGCGTGAGCCACTATGCCCAGCCATCATCCACATCTTTGCAAAGGATACATCATGACTGTTTTATCATCTGACAAGGCCAATAAGATGAATCTTGAAATACTGATAGTGATCAAATTAATAAACTTGTTCTCCTAAAAAAGTTGAATTATAAGGAAGTTTGGGTTTTGGTAAATATCTTTTTTAAAATTTTTAAAAATTATACTTTAAGTTCTAGGGTACATGTGCACAACGTGCAGGTTTGCTACATATGTATACATGTGCCATGTTGGTGTCCTGCACCCATTAACTCATCATTTACATTAAGTATATCTCCTAATGGTATCCCTCCCCCCTCCCCTCACCCCACCACAGGACCCAGTGTGTGATGTTCCCCTTCCTGTGTCCAAGTGTTCTCATTGTTCAGTTCCCATCTATGAGTGAAAACGTGGTGTTTGGTTTTCTGTCCTTGTGATAGCTTGCTAAGAATGATGGTTTCCAGCTTCATCCATGTCCCTACAAAGGACATGAACTTATCCTTTTTTATGGCTGCATAGTATTCCATGGTGTATATGTGCCACATTTTCTTAATCCAGTCTATCACTGATGGACATCTGGGTTGGTTCCAAGTCTCTGCTATTGTGAATAGTGCTGCAATAAACATACGTGTGTATGTCTTTATAGCAGCATGATTTAGAATCCTTTGGGTATATACCCAGTAATGGGATGGCTGGGTTAAATGGTAGTTCTAGTTCTATCTTCTTAATCTGCATAATGAGCTCCCATGCCTCAAGAGAGCAAACAGAAGATCAATGGGAAGACACTGGAAGTATCTAGGGAGCCAGCCGTTCATAAGAACTATACGTTAGATGGCAACAGGGCAGAGGTGAAGTGTAGGTCACTCTATGGACAGAGGTAAGAGCTAAAGAGCTGTGACACAAGGGGATCAGCCTGAAGAGAAGGGACTCCTGGCTTGGAAAATCACTGCTGGAGCTTTGATGCTGCTCAAAGAACAATGGCCAAGCCATTTGATTTTTCTTTCTCTTAATTAAAAATTTTCTTACTATGTATATATTTGATGGAATGGGGATAGTGAGCAATGTTATGTACCGGTACTAGTTGTTCAGCTGTTCTTTTTCTTATGATGGCCGTAGAGTGCTTTGATCATCCATCTCTGGCTGTTATACAACAATGTGGTCTGTATTTGTGCATACTGACTTTTCAAAAAACCTTTACAGTATTTTAAAATATAATCTTGTCTGTTGCTCTTAACTTATAAGCAATAGGTTATATAATCTTTAAATAATTCATAATTTCAAAAGTAGGTATTGGAGGCACATTTCTTTAGATAGTGACTCTGTGTGAATGTGTGAAAGCAAGTAAAAGAATCGCTACTCCATAGGTAGAGCAGCCTAGATAGTGACTCATTTTCTGTATAGGAAACAGTAAACTCTATGTACAAATGCTTAAAGGAAGGCTAGTAATGCCTCTAAAACATAACCAGGTTGATGCCAAGAAACTCTGAAAACAAAGTTACTTAAAGCTGAGTCTTCCCTCACAGAGAAGTTATCTGCCATTCTTAAAGAAAAAAAAAGTGACAAGTTTGTGCAAATGGAAACTATCATAAGCAACAGAATGCCTTTTAAAGTTCAACTGCAGTTAATGAACCTCTTCCGCTTTTAGGGCAATGAGCTATAGGATGGTGGACGATGTAGCATTCAAAGACTTGGAGGTAGAAGGTGCCATCATCTATCCCCCATCATGGTATCCACACAACCAGCACCCTCTTCCCTCCACTCTCCCCACTGTTTTGTAAATAGGAGAACGAGAAAGACACGTTCTCTTTCTGTTGTATTATGGTATTTTGTGGGTAGCGAGTAACAATATTAACAATTAATAAAAAGTAAAACAAAAAAATTAAAAGGCATCTCAAAATGTAGTAGTTTTTTTGGGTACTCAAAACTGCTATGTTTATATGCATCAAAATGCAACTGCTCTTCATACCTTCCATATTCTTCAGTCCAGTTATAGATATTTTTTGTAAGTTTAATCCATTCCTCAGGGTTGAATACAATCTCCAAAGGAACTAATTTGTCACAAGACCCCCATGGCCAAAGTGAGTAGTTCTTTTTCCAGGTTGGGTCGCCTTCATGAATTCCTATGCAAACAAATGTTTCTTTTCTGTTGGAAGCAGAAAAATACATGATGTACTTAAAATTTAAAGTTCTAAATGTTAAGTAAATATAATTCATGAAAGATCATTTTTAGATTTTTTTTCCCAATATCTATTACCTATATGATTTTGGAAAAATTACTGAACTATCTGGGTCTAGTCTTCTCATTTGTGAAACAGGTACAACAACTATCTTTCAGAGCTGTTTAAGATTAATGAGATATCTGATAAAATTAAGTGTCAAAATATAATAGAGGCTGGACGTGGTGGTTCACACCTGTAATCCCAACACTTTGGGGCTGAGGTGGGAGGATCGCTTGAGGCCAGGGGTTTGAGACCGGGCTGGGCAACACAGTGAGATCCCCATCTCTATTTATTTAAAAAAAATAATAAAGTTCTAGTTCTGGAGAAGAAGGAATAACTACAGTCTACCTTGTCTCTCCCACTGTACACAACTTTAATTCCTGGACACAAAATATGTGGAGCAGCTATCTGAGGAGTCTGAAAAGTAAATGGTAGAAAGAAGATTGAGAAAAATGACCAGAATTAGACGTTCTACCACATTAGTGATAAGTTTACCATTTTTCTCCCACCATGTGGGAAAAAAGGAAGCTCAAAACTCAGAAGTATGTTTCAAATAAGGACAAAAAAAGCTCCAAGAAAAGTCCCCACATTTTTCTGTAGCCCAAGAAGTAGAAAAGGGGACTAAGGTTTGGAGACAGTGGAGGAAATCCCCCAGGTCTTTTTCCTTCTCTCCTTTCCCAGGTGCCAGGCAACACTGTGGCATTAGTGGAGGCAGCAGCATAGTGAGAGTAGCGGTGGGTTGGCAGGCACCCAAAACTTCTCTCTAGGCAGAGGCATTGTGGTTCCAAGAGTGTGGGGCAAATCTCCATTGCTTTTTGTCTCTCTCTGTCCTTCAGCCTGGCTCCAGATGCAGACACAGTCACAGGAAGGGCATAGCAGAAGAAAGAAATTAAAGCCCCAGCTTTCTGGCCAGAGAACCAAAAAGGAAGGCCCCAGCAAGGTGGAAAGTAATGGGATGACCACAGAAAGGAGAGAGATGAAGAGAGTAATCCCATAAAGTTGTATATAAGCTCCTTGCTTATCTCTGAGCTGAGCATGCACAGGTCTGACCCTAAACAGAGTTTGTAAAATTAGCCACAGGGCAGACCACGACCCAGGTTCCAGACTGGGTACCCGGTAGTGTTACCATAGGTAGCTAGTCAGGATGAGCAGGGCAGGAGACAGCTCCCCTCCGTCCCACCCCAACCCCACCAGGAATTTCAGAAAACCATCAGGTGATGGTCAGACAGTTGTCACACTGCTTCTCTAAAATAGTAACTGGTCACAGCCAGCACCAGGAAAAGGCAGTTTCCCAATAGATAGAAACACCTGACACTGGTGATCAGCAACTTCCTGAAAAGATCTCAGGAACTGAACAAGTGGGCTCAAGCATGTGCACTAAGAGGCAAAATAGCAGAGTTTAACGGGTATATGATCTTCTAGGGCCATTCCACCAGTGAGGGAAGAACGCAAGTGAGCATGCATACAACTCCAGTAAACATACTGCAGAGTCTCTCTCTCTCTCTCTTTTTTTTTTGAGACAGAGTCTTGCTTTGTAGCCCAGGATGGAGTGCAGTGGCACGATCTTGGCTCACTGCAACTTCCACCTCCCAGGCTCAAGCAATCATCCTGCCTCAGCCTCCAGAGTAGCTGGGATTACAGGCATGCACCACCATGCCTGGCTAATTTTTGTATTTTTAGTAAAGCCAGGGTTTTTCCATGTTGGCCAGGCTGGTCTTGAACTCCTGACCTCAGGTGATCCACTGGCCTCAGCTTCCCAAAGTGCTGGGATTATGGGCGTGAGTCACTGTGCCTGGCCCACAGTGCACATTCTCACCTCCCAAGTGCTAGCAGGCTATTGCACATCCAGGCAGCCCAACCCCAGGGAAGAATCAGGGGAGAAGGGACGCAAGACCTTAGAAGTATGCCAACATAGGAAACCCTGAGTCAAAGGTCAAATGCGGCAACTTGTCTTTCAAGTCGCCTGCTTGGCCTTCTTCCAAGTGTAGTTTCCTTCCTTTCACTTCTGCTTTAGAGCTTTTAATAAACTTACTCCTGCTCTAAAACTTGCCCTGATCTCTCCTTCTGTCTTATGCCCCTCAGTTGAATTATTTCTTCTGAGGAGGCAAGAATTGAAGTTGTTGCAGACCTCTATGGGTTTGCTGCCAGTAACTCAGACACTCGCCACCGGTAACAGTAGCAGACACATAGGATTGATCCAAATAGCACTGCAAATGCTTTGGAAACAGAACTGGTATTGGAACCACAGTTCACAGAAGGCAGGCCAGAATTTGAAAGCTGAGATTAACCTGGCCAAGGGCTTGCTAAACAAACAAACCAAAAAGTCATCATTCTCCTTGGGATTTAAATAAGACCCAAATACGCAAAATGTCCAGATACAATCCAAAATTACTCAGCATATGAAGAACTAGAAAAACCTCAACTGATAAGGGAAAAGAAAATCAATAGATGTCAATTCTAAGATGACACAAATGCTAGAATTGTCAGTCAAAGACTTTAAAACAATGATTATAACCATTGCCTAGAGAAGGGCAAATACTCTAGAAACAAAAGGAAAGATGGAGAAGCTCAATAAAAAGGTAAAATATATAAAAAGGAACCAAATGGCTTAATATAAGTTTGGCGAGACAGTATGTCAGGGAATTTGAAGGCAGAGAGAGACAGAAAGATACAATTTAAACAAAAAAAGAAAAACATTGAAAAAAAGTACAGAGTTCAGGCATCTGTGGGACAATACCAAAAGGTCTAAATTCATTTCATCAGAGTCTCAGAAGGAGAAAAGAAACACTGTGAAACAGGAAAAATTATTTAAAGACATAATATATGGAAAGTTCCCAAATGTTTTGAAAGATACAATCTTACAGGTTGAAGAAACTTGGTGAACTCCAAACAAGTTAACTCAAAGAAATCCATGCTAAAATATATTATAATCAAACTACTGAAAACTAAAGACAAATAAAAAGTCTTGAAAATGGACAGAGAAAAACAATACATTTCACCTAGGGGAACAATTATTTGAATTACCATAGATTTCTACTTAGAAGCTACTACACAGGCCAAAGAAATGTAACTTACATTTTTTTTTTTTTTTTTTTTTTTTTTTTTTTTTTTTTGAGATAGGGTTTTGTTCTGTTGCCTAGGCTGGAGTACAGTGGCACAATCATAGCTCACTGCAGCCTCAAACTCCTGGATTCAAACAATCTTCCCACCTCAGCTGCCCAAGTAGTTGGGATCACGGGTGTGCACCACCACAGCCAGCTAATTTTTTTTTTTTTTTGTAGCAACAGGGTTTCCCTATGTAGTAAAGGTTGGTCTTGAACTCCTGGGCTCAAGCAATCCTCCTGCCTCAGCCTCCCAAAGTGCTGGAATTACAGGCATGAGCCATTGTGCCCAGCCTAAAGTATTATTTTTAAATGCTGAAGAAAATAGTATTATCAACCCAGAATTCTATTTCCACAAATATTCTTCAAAAAAGAAGGTGAAATAAAGACATTTTTAGATAAAGGAAAACTAAGAGAATTCACTGTTAATAGTCTTGGTTTAAAAGAAATGCTTAAGGAATATCCTCAGAATGAAGGGAAATCATACAAGAGGAAAATGTGGAATATCAGGACCGAAGAAAGAACAACAGATCTGGTAAGTATCTGAATAAATATTGTAGACTATTTTTTTCTCTTAAGTTCTTTAACATCTGTATGACTACTGAAATAAAAATGACCCTATCTGACATAACATATAACACAAAAAGTAAAAGACTTATATGGTAGTAAGGTTTCCACATTCTGCTTGAAGTGGTAAATTATTACTCCTACGTAGACCATGAAAAGTTAAGTGTGGATGCTGCAATCTCAACAGCAACCAACTTCAAAAAAAACTAAACAACAAAAACTTTACCAAGCGATACAGTAAAAAATCTCAATAGACATTTTAAAAAGAAATACAAAAAGTCAGCCAGGCACAGTGGCTCACACCTGTAATCCTAGCACTTTGGGAGGCCAAGGCAGGTGGATCACTTGAGGTCAGGAGTTTGAGACCAGCCTGGCCAAAATGGTGAAACCTCCGTCTCTACTAAAAATACAAAAATTAGCTGGGCATGGTGGCACATGCCTGTAATCCCAGCTACTTAAGAGGCTGAGGCAGGAGAATCGCTAGAACCTGGGAGGCAGAGGTTGCAGTGAGCCAAGATTGTGCCACTGTACTCCTGCCTGGGTGACAGAGTGAGACTTCGTCTCAAAAGAAAAAAAAAAAAAAAGAAATACAAAAAGTCAATTAATCTAAAAAAACACAATAAAATAGTAGACATACATGTAAGCATATCAATATTTATATTAAATGCAAATGGTCTAAACACAGCAATTAAAGATAGAGATATCTGAGATAGTAAAACAAGACTCAAATATATACTGTCTATAAAACACCCATTTTAAATATGATACAGGTTGGTTAGAAACAAAAGGATGAAAAAGATAAACCACAAAAACATGAATTAAGTTAAATCCAATAAAAAACCCCAGAAGATTTTTTCCTTTGGTATAGACAGAGAAAAGTGCAAATATAATGCAATGAAGAAAGGATAATCTTTGTAGCAAAGAGTATGAGGACAATTTGATATCCAAACACAAAAACAAAACTACAGAACTCATAGAACAAAACATGAGAAAATCTTTGTGACCTGGCATTAGGCAAAGAGTTCTTAGATATGATACCAAAAATATAATTCATAGAAGAAAAAAATTGGATTTGAATTTCAAAGAAATAAAAAAGTTTTGCTCTGCAAAAGACACTTGTAAAAGACAAGCAACTAACTGCGAGACAATATTTACAAACTGCATATTTGACAGAGGTTGTGTACCTAGAACATATACAGAACTTTCAAAACTCAACAATAAGAAAACAAACAACTCAATCCCAACCCTATGCAGAAAAACATACTCACACACAAACGTAGATGAACGTTTATAGCAGCTCTACGTATAAATGCCCCAAACTGGAAACAACCCAACTGTCCTTCAATGAGTAAATGGATAAACAAACCACAGTACATCCATACAATGAAACATTACTTAGAAACAAAAAGAATGAACTATCGATACACACAGCAACTAGGATGGTTCTCAAAGGCATTATACTAAGTGAAATATACCAATATCAACAGGTTACATACATACTTTGATTCTATTTATATGACATTCAGGAAAAGGTAAAGCTATAATGATGAAGAACAGATCAGTGGTTGCCAAGGTTAGGCCTGAGGGGACAGTATGGCTATACGGGAGCAGCACAAGAAAGTTCACGGAATCATGGACTGCTCTGTGTCCTGACTGCTGTGGTGGTTACACAAATGTACACATGTGTTAAAATTCATAGAACTGTATACCACACCCCCTAAAAAGAAAAGTAAGTATTACTGCTTGTTAAAAATAAAATAATAGGTGCTCACTAAACATTAGCTAGCTTCCTTTCAGAGGTACACATTTAGATAACTTTCATGTGATGATGGTCCATCCCTTTGAGGGGAAAAAAAATCTCTATCACATGCCTTTAAATAATGCATGTCCTTTGACTTAGTAATTTTACTTCTGATAATCGATGCTAATAATTTAAAATTCTGCCCCTCCACAAAAAAAACCTACATATACAAAGCAGTTGTTGTAGGTATACATTTATTATAGTTAAAATTAGATACCATGTTAAATATCTCCTAATAGTTTTATTCACTTATTATTTTTAAATTACAGTACATGTATTTACAAACAGTTTGTAAAAACGTAAGGAAATTGTTTTATGATAGTAAGTATAAAAAACAGGACACTTATGCTTTCACCTTTGTAAAACATATGCATTTTTTATATGTGTGTTGTTTCTGAGTGACTAGGACAATGTTTTCTTCTAGTTTTAAAAAAAATTTCTCATTCTGTAACAAACACATGCAACTTTTACAATTAAAAACTATTTAAAGAACTGATATTAATAAGTCATATTTATGCAGTGATCTTTGTTAGTCAAAAATATTAACAATAAAACTTTATGGGGCAGAATGTTCATCATCATTGTATATTATAATAGCAAAAGTCTAGAAACAGAGAGAATATCCCAAAAAATCGAATATTTGTTACATTATTATGCATCTTATGAGAATATTAGCCAAAAATGACAATAATATACATGGGGAAATGCTTATGATATAATGGTAGGTTAAAAAAAATTGGACAGATAATGATATCTCAGCTATCTATAATACAGTATGTATTGAGTATGTGTATTTTAAAAATAAGTCATTCATGTTAAAGATGAGTGGAATCCAACAATATTTATCAAAATACTAACAGCATCTGTCCTTGGGAGACAGACGATACTGATCATCTTTACACTTTTCTGTGTTGTTTAAGTTTCCTCAAAGAACATATGACATTTCCATCATATTGTTCTTGGAACATTTTGGACATGCAGTTTTTATTTTAAAAATGCTGAATGAATGTCCCCAAACAGAATTAACGGCTTCCCATCCATGCTGCCAGAATACTTGGCATATGTTGTCAGTTAAATTATCTATCTGTTCAGTAAACACCTACTGAGCATTTACTATGTCTGACACTTTACAAGGCATTGATAGTATAGAACTTATCCCACCAAATTATGGCTAGTCGTATTCACATCTATGTATGTACACAACTAGATTGTGTTCTACTTGGATTTGTAACTGAACCTCATTCATCTTTCTACTGCCGGAGCCTAATACAAGTTGTAACGCAGTAGACATTCAGTAAACGCTTGTGGGATTGAATTCTTGAAAATTCACAAAAATGCCAATCTGGGGATGTTAATGGTTCCTAATATTTTATCTAGAATAGAATAAATGTTACTCTCACAGCACATTTATACCCATTACTTTCGTTTACTCCATGAGCCACATAAACTTCAGGCTCTAAACACCCAAAATACCACATTATTATGTTCTTAGCAAGGGATAATTTAACTTCGGGATTTACAAAGACATTCTGAAGTCTTCTTTATAAGAAAAAAGAAATCATGAAATAAGTGTTTCTTCTTCAAGCTCTGGACAATCTTAAGCACTTCATAGCAGAAGAAATGTTCAACACTATACCACTGGGGGAATTATTTATTCTTGACCTAACTACAAATAATTTTATGTTCTCAAGTATAGAATTCACAATTCTCATATTTTATCTCAGCTAGCATAAACTACATGTTTTTCTTATTTATAAAAATGTCTTATCCTTTATAAAAATCTTTAAGCTATTTTTATACACTGATTATTCCTGAAAACATTTGCTTTACACTTAAAAGGGGGACCATAGTGTTGATCGGGGGAACTATAATTGCTTGCCATCCACCTGCAATGATTTCAAGTAGGCAGGCACATCTCCAATTTCTGTGAATTGTACTAAGATCTTATTTGCTGTTCTTGCTAATCTGTCTTTATTTTTCCTTTACCCAAAACAATAACATTTATTTCTGCCTGGCCTTATTTATGCACAGATATTCAATTTAATTACAAAGATAATCTCACCAGTGACAGGGAAATAGGTATAGAAAATTGGTCTTTTGGATGAGGCACAGCTGCTACAGAAACAATTTCAGAAAAGCTTAAGATTTTAGAAAAGCTATTACACAAAAAGAATGCTTACTGTTTATTTACTTCAAGAAAATGATAAAGATTAAATGTGACCATTCCACTAGGTAATATTCCTTCCACAGGATTCCACCGGTTCCCAGGAAAGTTGACACCTGGCAAGTGCTTTGCCATCTTGGGTAAATACCACTCATAAGTCATCATCTGCCAGAAAAGTCACACAGGATGTCAGACTTTTAATATATTTCTTAAAAAGAATCAAGTTTATCGAGTAATGGCAAAAACCTAAATTACTTTTGCACCAATCTAATACATATATAATTGAAAAATATAAGCACAACTGAGAATGTGGTAATGATTACTTTTTTAGTGATGTAAACCTTGGATTTTATTATGACTATCATCAGTCACATCAGTACCTTCTTCCAATTAACCTCCCACATTTGATTCCCCAGAAGGATCTTCCCCCATTCTAATACCTAGAGCAGGAGCCCCCAAACTGGGCTGCACAGCAGGGGCCAGCATTACTGCTGTGCTCTGCCTCCTGTCAGATCAGTGGCAGCATTAGATTTTTCACAGGAGCGTCAACCATTGTGAACTGCACATGTGAGGGATCTAAGCTACATGCTCCTTATGAGAATCTAATGCCTGATGATCTGAGGTGGAACAGTTTCATCCCAAGACCATTCCCCACCCCCACCCCCAACCCCCAGTCTGTGGAAATACTGTCCTTCATGAAACCGGTCCCTGGTGTAAAAAAGGTTGGGGACCACTGACCTAGAGAACGTGCATTCAACTTTAAGAACCAGTGTAAATATCACTTCCTTTGATGCCCTCCTCTGTCTCCACAGCCAGAATGGCATGCTCCTCTAGTACTTTGTACTCACCTCTATTAGAGCCTGTTCCTCATCAGACTGTGAGCTCCTAGAGAAAAGGCACTGTATTTTTTCATCTCTGTGTCTCTGCACCTAGCACATCGGCTGGCATAGAATAGTTCTCACATTTATTATTATTTTGAGATAGTCTTACTCTGTCACCAAGGCTGGAGTACAGTGATATGACCTCGGCTCACTGTAAGCTCCGCCTCCTGGGTTCAAGCGATTCTCCTACCTCAGTCTCCCGTGTAGCTGAGATTACAGGCACGTGCCACTATGCCCAACTAATTTTTGTGTTTTTGGTAGACACGGGGTTTCACCATGTTGGCCAGGCTGGTATCGAACTCCTGGCCTCAAGTGATACACCCGCGTTGGCCTCCCAAAGTTCTGGGATTACAGGCATGAGGCACCACGCCTGGCCAGTTCTCAAATTATGTTTGCTGAAGTTGAAATGCCTTTGATGGCCAGACTAGACAACCTAGACAAAATAGCCATTATTTTATTCATTAAAAAAAACAAGTATGCTCATCTATAATGAATAAGATATAACCCCTGCCCTGGAGAAGCTCAATCATGTAATAATCTGGGCCTCAAAGTTAAAAACTCTTTTGGCATTTCAAATTATCTAAATTTATTAGCAGCCCTATATTAATTACATATCCTTACACGTTTACACATTCTTTTGATTTAAATAATTTACTTATATTAGAAAAAATCATTTTACTTAATTCTATACTTAATACATACTTAACTCTATACTTTGATATGTATCCATTCCCTCTTTTTAAAGAAGAGACTCCCATTTATACCACCAAAGCTTTGTTATGTTTGGATATCATCATTTGAGAAATTGTGCTTATGTTTTACTTGTCTTATATATTTAACTAGCAAATGACAAAGTAATTTTAATCTAAGTCCAAACTGTAAATACCCAGAAAAATACTTACTGAATTAGGCTTTATTGCCCAATAGTTCCAGTTCTGGAGGATATTAACATTAATTACATACCCACTGTGTGCTATGGACTTTATTGTTCCTCCTTTAATTCTCATAATAACCTTGCTATGTGAGAATAACTGTATCAGACACTGTTGATTGCCCACTCCACAGTGAATACCTTCTTCTTTTTCACTAATGCAATCTTGATTTTGATCAGGTAGCTCAGGCTGCAATGTTTTCAGTCTAGTCGTTCTCCTTTGCTAATGAGCAGTTTAGGTGTGAGTATATGACTCAGTATGGGTCAGTGGGGCCTGAGTGGAGGTCTGCTGAGGGACTTCTGGGGCACATGTTATTCCCAGTAAATAGAGACGGAGACACCCAGAAGAAGCACCGTGCTTTGTTTTAGGTTGTGATGTTTGGAACTGGGCATCCATCCTGTGACTGGGAGGGAAAAGTCAAGAGAATGGCAGAAAAGCTGCCTCAGAAACTGACGTCCCTGAACTGCTCATATTATGTTAGATAGGTGATCCTAACATCACCTATCTCCAGACTGCTTGTCATGTGAGGCTAAAAACTCAGTAATTTCAGTCAGATATTCTGTTTCTTGCATTCAAATGCATCCTAACTTATATAATGATGACTTACATTTCATAAATAAGGAAACAGAAGCTCTGAGAGGAAAAATCATTAGCCCCAAGTCACACATCCAGGAAGTGACAGAATGAGGACTTGAGTTTAGGTCTAATTCACTTCCTAATCCATGCTTCTCAACTACAGTAGCTGACATCCTAAACAGTGTTTAAAATCATAGTGTGGAACCACGTTATTAACGAATAACCTAGCTTTTGTCAGAAACTAGACTGAAGATCAAATTAATCAATCGGCATCCATGATATAAATGCAACTGCTTCTTAAAATGTAAAACTGTATATTTACGAACCTGTTCAAAGTTTTCTCCAAAAATTATAATTATTCATTAATTCAATAAAATGCATTCAGTACTATGCCTAATAATTTGTTCAACTGAATTCATCATATTATTCTTTTAAGATTAAGAATTTCTCTTTTCCTAATGACTGCTCTAAAAACACCAGAGACAGGCTTCTTCCCTTTTACGAATCTATGGCTCAAATAATAAATCTTACAGTTTAAATAGTTCTTCAATGAAAAATAAAATGTTTTCATAGCCCTCAAAATTTTCACAAGTCCTCTTTTAATATATTTTTGTCATAGCATTAACAAAGTTTATATAACAATTCTATAGCGTAATTATGGTTAAAAATTTCTATTTTGAGTAAAATGTTTACTTACCTACAGTATGATTTATTTCATATTCAATATAATTTATTTTAATCCCTGGACCAATGGGCAAGGTAAATTCGAATGGTTGAGTTAGCTGAACATAAAATAACAATTTTTTTTTGAGACTGAGTCTCGCTGTGTCACCTAGGCTGGAGTACAGTGGTGCAATCTTGGCTCACTGCAAGCTCCGCCTCCCAGGTTCACACCATTCTCCTGCCTCAGCCTCCCGAGTAGCTGGGACTACAGGCATGTGCCACCATGCCCGGCTAATTTTTTGTATTTTTAGTAGAGATGGGGTTTCACCGTGTTAGCCAGCATGGTCTTGATCTCCTGACCTCATGATCTGTCTGCCTCGGCCTCCCAAAGCGCTGGGATTACAGGCGTGAGCCACTGCGCCCGGCCTGAATGTAAAATAACAATTTAAAAATAGATTTACAACACAACGAACACTTTTATGGTTTGTCACATGAACGAGAGACTTAAAATATTATGACTCTAACATGAAACACATGAATTCTTAAAACATTCAGTTTAAATGTTTTTAAACGGGAAGCAAATAGTGTGACTTACGCTATTAATTAAAATAAAAAAACAAATATGCTCATATATATTCTACCTAACATGTAAAATGTCATATATATTCTACCTAACAGTGATCATGAAAATGGTACCCACCATTTTAAAAAAGATGTTTTTTCCAAAACATATGTTTTTAAATCATTGCTATATTCTAAGTATATGTTTCATATACTTACTTCCTGATCCACTAATGAAATGTCAGGCCTCAACCCCTCACAGTAATGCATGTAACGGAGAGAATTTCCTGGCAAATCTCCTCTCAGTAAGATAATTGCATCATGAGGCATAGAGGTGAGAAGGTTCTTTGCGAATTTATCAATCACATAGTTGGTCCTTTGGTCACAAATGCTAAATAAAAGGGTCCAAAAAAATTAAAATAGCAACACTTTGCTACAGTTTTAACAAGACTAAGCTTATTTTCTATGCCATTCTTTTCCCATCATAAATAAACATTTAGTGTTTCAATATATTCTAAAATAATACATATATCTGAAGAAAGAATATTATCGTCTGATAAGCAGCAGCTAATTGTGCAACTGAAAAAAAAAAACAGTCTACTGCTTACTTCTGGAGTTTATAATCACCCCCACAAAGAGGGAATCAGTACACAAGAACAGGTCCTTTTTCCCCCTAAGTGCAATCCAATTTTATTTTTAGAAATTAAGATTTCTGATTCCACTTGGAATTTAAGGCAATTTTATGTTAACTCCATTTACTCAAAGGAACTTTCAGAAATGCAAAAGGAAATCTGCCCATTTCTGACTTGAATTTGTATGACATTTGTATGATTTTCTTGCATGTAGTTGATCCTTTCCACTTCTCCCCTCCTGTGTTCCTCTCTGCCTTTGGAGATCAAGAAATCGCTAGGGGATGAGACCAATGAGAAGCAAGGGGAGGAAGAGTTTCCTGAGTTGTTTACTTCTCTCCAGGCATTATTTGCTATTGCCAATAACTTCATCCTTTTCAAGAATGAAGTGAACTTTCTAACTTCAAAGAAAAACTGCCATGAGTTCTAAGAGCATTCTATGAAAAAAGAAAAAGACGACAAAACAGTAATTAGTAATAAAAAATGAGACAAGCAATGTCCTTTCTGTTGTTATCAGGTCCATTACATTTGACGGAGCTGAGAAACACAGCCTAAAGTTGAATACCTGGGTTAGTATCACAAAGCAAAGGAACACCTCTAGGAACAGAATACTATCCCTGCCTTTGTAATCGATGTAAAAATTACTGTTTCCTACCTGCTTCCCTATGTTGCAGAGTGATGAGGCACATTTTGCCATCTAGCAAAGGTGCTACATATTCCATTCCCCTGGGGCAAATGAAAAAAATCAAAACAAGATAAAAACACCTAGCCTGTGCAAACACGTCTGGGGTCGAACCTGGACTGCCCAAATGGCCTGAGCCAGGAGATGACTGGGATAAGAAAAGGCTGGGAAACACACTGTGAGCTTGGTGCACCTGCTTGAGCTAGCGATGATGTTGTGTCCAGGACATGCAGCCCCTTCTCTCAAGGCCTCCTGCTGGCCTTCCTAACACCAGCTCTACCCCAGTATTATAAAGAACAATGTTGTGTGTTTTTCTTTAACTTTTATTTTAGGTTCAGAGGTACATGTGTGGGTTTGTTATTTGTTATACAGGTAAATTCGTGTCACAGGGTTTGTTACAGATTATTTCGTCACCCAGGTACTAAGCCTGGTACACAATAGTTACTTTTTTCTGATCCTCTTCCTCCTCCAAGCCTCCACTCTCAAGTAGGCCCCAGTGTCTGTTGTTCCCCATCTTTGTATCCATGAGTTCTCATCGTTTAGCTCCCACTTGTAAGTGAGAAGATGCAGTATTAGGTTTTCTGTTCCTGTGTTAATTTGCCAAGGATAACGGCCTCCAGCTCCATCCATGTTCCTAAAAAGGACATGATCTCATTCTTTTTATGGCTGCATAGTATTCCATGGTATACATGGACCACTTTTTCTTTTTCCAATCTGCCACTGATGGGCATTTAGGTTGACTCCATGTCTTTGTTACTGTGAATACCACTGCAATAAACATTTGCATGCATGTGTCTTTATGGTAGAAGGATTTCTATTCCTTTGGGTATATACCCAGTAATAAGATTGCAGGGTTGAATGGTAAGAACATTGGTTTTTAAAGTTAAGTTAAAAGAGAAAATTTAATCCTTTAAAATAATACCAGTTAAATCTCACTATAGCAAAATTCTAAGGGACTCTCTCTTCCAGTTCCATAATGTGTACTTGATATTGCTGGAAATAAACAAACTATAGTCTAAGACTTAGACATCTTTATGTTAGACTGAGATTCTTATTATAATGGTTATTAAACAGATTTGGAAAAATACATGTAATAGTAATAATATATGAGTTAAGAAACTTTGGAACTTAATTTAAAAATAATTAAAGCTGGTGTAGTGGCTCACACCTGTAATTCCAGCACTTTGGGAGGCTAAAGAGGGAGGCTTGCTTGAGACCAGGAGTTCAGGACCAGTCTAGGCAACATAGTGAGACCTTGTCTCTACAAAAAAAAAAAAAAGAAGAAGAAAGAAAAAAGGCATGCCAACGGTGGCATGTGTCCATAGTCCCAGCTACTGAGGAGGCTGAGGCAGAGGACTGCTTGAGCCCAGGAGTTCAAGGCTGTAGTAAGCTACAATCATGCCACTGTACTCCAGCCTAGGGGACAGAATAAGACCTTGTCTCAAAAAAAAAAAAGTAATATTTAGTACTACAGAGTAAACTGGACATAAAGGGAAGCATAAAGTGAATTATTTTAGGGTATACAAAAAACCCTAAATCATTTTACTCTCCATCTAAGTGGTATTTTAGGTCATGGAATTTTACCTATACTAGGGATTCTAAAAGTATTTCTTGGGTTCTTTAGAGAAAAAGATACAAATAGTCTACACGCACCACCTAAACCCTTGTTTGCAATGGCCTGAAACCATACATCGCCCATACTAAGATTCTGGTTCAGAAGGTTTAACAACCCTAAAAGCTAAAGAACTACTGCATTCAACCAAGCTGTCTCACTTTGAGTCCTGAAAACCAGTAGAAGTTAAAAATGAAATAAAGTGTTAGAATCTAAATATTCAGGTATCTCTGGCTTGACAGCTACTTTTCATAAAAATAACCATGTGTTACCTGTAATTAGAATATATTTGGTAAACTACAAAAAGAGTTGCAGAAAGCCATGCCAGACACTGAAGCCCATTGCTATTCAGCACTCTGTTAGTCTCAGACACAACTGCAGCCAAACCAATGCCAGCGAGGACGGCCACTACCGCATTGCTCTGCATCCAGAATCGTTCCACCTGTGAAACAGACAAGCAATCAGTAGGTCCAGTTGACTAGTTTATGCTATCAGTCAGCTACTTATATATTTTTAAAATACACTGCCTGCATTTAGTTGTGTGTGCCTATTGTCATTCAGGTTTTGTTAACTGATTTCCCCAATCCAAACCCAGGTCATTTCATTTTTCTATTTTCAAACATTCTTCCTTCCCAATTTGACAAGTGCATCTCCCTTTTTAGATCCACACATTCATTTCAATACTGTGGGTTCGTCTTGAACTCCAGTAATACACAGGCTGAAGGAGTTAGAGAATGCTTTTGCTTTCCTCCTGATATTTCCTTCCACAGGGAGAAGTTCCACTGTCCTGGCCTCTCTCTGACCCCTCATGTATTTCCTCCTGTAGGATGTAAGGACTTATCCAACTGGGGAGTTTGGGAGCTAGGACTGGACCTGCAGCACCCTTTCTTTTCCTCTCACTTTCTCCTGGAAGTGAGCTACCCACAGCAAGCACCTGTCCAGGTCCAGAGTCTATCTCTGTGGCACGAGTTGGGTGGGGAAGACATGGGAAGAGGCTTGACCTCCACAGTACTGCCTATGACTAGTGGGTAAATCTGTCTATTCTGGGATGCTGGAAGAGGAAGCCCCCTTGGCTACAGATATAAGCCACATTTTCCAATCTCAGTATTACCAGATTAAAAGTGATTCTCCCACCCGTTGTACTGTGTTACCTTGTTTCTCAATTGATTCAGAACTCAGGTGATCAAGTAGGGTATTATTTATTAGGCTTCCTAAACACACATACACACAGACCACTCAGTTTCAGCTGTCAAAAAAGAGCTATTGACATTTACAGAGATTCTATTATAAGTAGAAGAAATACTCTAATCTCAGAGACTGCTGCCAAAGAAAACAGAAACATGGTTGCTCTTTTGCCTAGGCCTCAGACTGGGTAGGTAAGAAATAAGGATATATGTTGTTAAGTGCCCTCAATTATAATTCATATTTCTTTTGCTATTAAAAAAATTCCAGGAGAAATGCAGTTGTACCTATATTTGCAAGCACACACACACACAATGACTGACTTAAATCTACTTTACATTCATTTTTCTATTTAACAACTGTGTTAATGAAACAATGCATTCTTTTTATCCTAAAAAGAGGCCTTAGCTGTATTGGCTCAATAATTTAACTTTGATTTATAAAACTGTATATAAAATTTTAACTATTCCTTAAGTAATTTGCTCTTCTACAAGATTTATGAAATGCAAATTGGTACATTCTTCACAAACTTTCTGGTGAAAGGATATATCTAAGTAAAACTTACCACACCCATGAAAAGTGGTTTTGAAATATCTAAATTTGCTCTCCAAGCAAAGAACAATGAATAAATGCAAAACATCCCAGTAAAAAGCCATACTAATGATGGATTCTGTCGGTCCCTACAAAAAATAATAAAAATATGTCTAAAATATTTATATACATGAATGTCAAATATAATATCACAGAACTTTAAACTATTAAATCTATAAAAACTTTCCATTTTTAACTAGAAGCAAAGAGAGATCTTGGTTTTTAAAATCTGAGTTGAAACAACCAAAATATAGTAATAAACTCGAACTACAACCTGGGACTACACAGTAAAGGATATAAAGCTAACATTCACAGAAGAAATGCAAACTACTAATTTTGTTAAATTTCAGAAGTGATCAAATATAGGCAAAATACAAATATTTTCATGCTTGAAATAATAAAGATTTAAGAACAATAAATCTCAATGTTGGTGTGAATGCAGTGGTATGACAATATATGTTAGTATAATCCTTCAGAAAAGTTAATTTGATAATATTTTTATTAGAAGCCTTAAAATATTAATAATCATTGACTCAGTTATTTGTCATGCAGGCATAAATCTTTAAGCAATAACCAGAAATGTAAATAAAGATTAATCCATAAAAAATGTTTTGGTATTACTTATAATAGTGGAAAAAGTGGAAGCAATCTAAAGAGTTCTCAATAGAAGAACAGTTAAATTAATTCTCCTATGGTCATAGGATGTTCTATTACACAGACATTTAAATGATTTTAAGTATTTTTATAGTATGAAAAAATGTTCACAATAAAATGTTGAAGTGTCAAGTAAACAAAACTATAGATACTTGTACAAATATATATTTACATACAAATACATACATTCAACAGACTAGATCATAAATGAATAAATTAATGGAGATTTACAGTGCTACATTTTCCAGGGTTTCTTTTGTCATCAGGGATTACTTTTATCATCAGAGGAATTTAAATAATAGCTTCTTTTTAAAATCAGCAATAATAATCGGTTATGGCAGAGTAAGGAAGCAAATCTGAAGTTTAGGACATCAAATGACTGCCTACTTAGACAGTAATATAATGCTCAATTTCTTGAAATCATTGATTTAGAATCAGAGTAAAAGTAAGAAAGCAATACATATTTATTTTAATAGATAGCTAGGAGAGTCATTTATTTGGAGTATAAAATAATACTGGCAATGTCCTACAGTGACATACTGAAAACATTAATTCAATTCATGAACATAGAAAAATAACAGGAAAAGGAATTGTATTACTTACTTTCTTACTAAACATATATTTGCACAAACTGCAAGGGCTTGGATGTTGAATGAGAGTTCGGTCCTCATATTTGTTACTTGAGAACTGCAAAAAACAACCTAACTTATTGTTGGCAGGAAACAAATTTCATTAATTCCAAGTAAAATATTCCTTGTAGGATACATTTGATTATACACTGGGCTTGGGTCAGATTTTCAAATTGTATCTTTTAAAGTTGGAAGAAAAAGTGCAATAGAAAGAGTTAAATAGTTCCAAGATGTTTTCCAATGGTAACATTTGGTTACCAACTTACGTAATTTGGAATAGAATCAGAACACATAATTTTTCTGTATTTTTGATATTGGTATACTGCATAGAATATCCACGACTGGTTTGATAGGAAGCTGTTTGAAATGAATTTCTGAACTTTTTTCTGTTGGCAGTGTAGACATGGGCCTCTAGTGATTTAGCAACTAATAACACAATTAATTCAAATAGCTTTCTGGAGATCTAATATGGAGAAAATAAAGGCCATGAGAGAGAATTCTCAGCCATTCTTTTGTGGGTTATCTTTTTCCTTAAATGGTTTCCTTGTTTTCTATATCATTTGTTTTGGTTCAAAAAACATTTAAGCAATCTCAGAGAAATGTATTATTCTTTTTCCTACAAATAAACTACATTTTTCCATTAACTCATATGCATTTTCAGTTATTATGTGAGTTCTAAAATAGCTTCTGCTCTAGCTGTCTCCAATTTTTAAAAAAGAAATGACTCTATACATCATCTCAAATAACTTTCTTCTCCCTACCGGCAATTTTACTGGAGAAAATGTGATACCATAATTATGGAAACCATACAATGTGTATTTTACTAATGAAGACTCATCTACTATGAGAAGACGTCCTTACTCATTTTCAAATACACTTGAAAAATTGATTCCAGCATGAGGCCCATTTCAAACCATTCTTCAAAAGGAATGAAGTCAGTCTCAAAATTAATTCTTGGAGATCTATTGCTTAAGTGTAAGCGCTAAAAGATGGTCACTGCCTAAGGTTAGATTCAATAATTTCCTTGTACAGGATTGCAGTTTAGAGATATGCATGGGGAAAAAATTTAATTTGCTTGACTGGAAAATGGTAGATGATTAGCTTCTATCATTTTGAAGGATTTTCTCATAAGTTAATTATCAGTTGCCTTTTTCAACATTCCTGCCCACCTGAAACAATTAAAGACTAGAAATTCTCATTCAGGGAGTGCTAAGATTATGCCTTCATTCTACATGACGACTTGGTCCACACAAAAGTGTGGGTGTGAGTGGTCATCACTTTTGTCAAGTCTTTTTTCTGGGTATACAGCCTGCTATTATTTTAATGTGAAGGAGGCTGTTAAGGGTCTCAATAGATGACTTTTATGTGCAACTAATAACAGTTAGACATATGGTCTAGGATTACTCTCTAGCGTTCTTTGGAGTTCATGTAGGATTTGCTAAGGCAAAATATAACAGCTATCCTTAATGCTATAACAATCTCTGGAAGGTTGATAGAAAAGGGCAGGCAGTGAGTCCTGCATGGAGCAAAGCAGAATAAAATGAAAGCTCAGAGACATTGATATGACATATGACTGTCTTTATCTTTATTTTATTTATTTATTTATCGAGACAGGGTCTCACTCTGTTGCCCAGGCTGGAGTACAGTGGCATGATACGATGAGGACTCACTGCAGCCTCGACCTCCTGGGCTCAACTGATCCTCTCACCTCAGCCTCCTGAGTAGCTGTGACTACAGGTGCATGCCACCATGCCTGTCTAATTTTTTTTTTTTTCAATTTTTTTTTTTTTTCCAACCAGGCTGGTTGTGTTAGCTCACTCCTGTAATCCCAGCACTTTGGGAGGCCAAGGCAGGTGGATCACTTGAGGCCAGGAGTTTGAGACCAGTCTGGCCAACATAGCGAGACCCTGTCTCTACTAAAAATACAAAAATTAGCTGGGTGTGGTAGCACGTACCTGTAATCCCAGCTACTCAGGAGGCTGAGGTGGGAGAATTGCTTGAACCCGGGAGGCGGAGGTTGCAGTGAGCAGAGATCTCACCACTGCACTCCAGCCTGGGTGACAGGGCAAGACTCCATCTCAAAAAACATTTTTTTTTTTTTTTTGCAGAGACAACGTCTCACTATGTTGCCCAGGCTGGTCTCAAACTCCTGTGCTCAAGCGATCCTCCCACTTTGGCTTCCCAAAGTGCTGGGATTACAGGCATGAGCCACTGCACCTAGTGCCATCTTTATCTTTGAAAAGAAAACTGAGCTTCTTGTTACATTCTCCCAGCGAAAATGAGAAAGCCACAAAAGTCTCACACATAAAAAGAAATATTTAAAATCAATGGTGAGAACCATCAAAAGGTTATGTGAAAGTAACTGATGGCAGGGAGGTATTTCCAAGATAAAATGTAAAGTAGAAAACAGCAGGCTAATGAAAAAGTATGATTATACTTTTAAAAAGAAACAAAAATCCTAAAAATATTAGAAAAATGTAGTCCAAAATATTAACAGATTAATAATAGTGGTTATCTCTGCATGTTGGATTTATAGGTAGTTTTAATTTTCTTATATTTGCTTACCTGTATTTTCTAAGTTTTCTGTAAAGATTATATACCTTTTTTGAAGTAGAAAAAAGAAGTCGTTTAAACAGAAAGGAAGGAAGGATGGCTGGAAGAAAGCAAGCTAATAAGTACATTACACCGAAATTGTGAGAACTCATAAACTGCCTCACGTATAAAGTTGAAATATTCTCCTCACAGTTTTTTTTCAAACAGCCCCAAGAGTTCCAAATTAGTAATTGGTTAGGACATCACTTCAGTGTTGTAGAAACCTATTTTCTTCCAAAATTTTGTATCAAGTTGGTATGGATATCTTTCTACTTGTCTTAATCTGTAGGTTTTAAAGCAAATATTAACCCAGTTTTCAAAGAACACTATTAAATAATATAGATGAAAATATATTTGCTTAAGCCAGCTCTAATAAGGTTGGATGTTAAAAATACGGAAGCCAAAGATACAGCTTATGGCAAGGATAGCCTAAGGAAGTCATAGGAGACATTACATAAATTAAGCTCTGAAATACTAAAAACCAAAATAACAAGAAAACAGTTGTTCAATTGAAGGTTTAAACATTTTCGTTCTATAAATACTCTATATAGTATTCTAATATTCACCGTTGTGTTTATTACTTATTTTAAGCTCTATCTTATTGAAGGAGGTGCTAAAAATATTTGAGAGTACAGTCGGCCCTCTGCCTCCATTGGTTCTGCCTCTGTGGATTCAACTAACCTTAAATCAAAAAAATTTGCAGAAAAAAACTGTCTCTACAAACATATACAGATGTTTTTTCTTGTCATAATTCCCTAGACAATACAGCATAACAACTATTTACACAGCATTGACATTGTACTAGGTATAAGTAATCTAGAGATGATTTACAGTATACAAGAGGATATACACAGGTTATATACAAATATTATGCCATTTTATATCAGGACTTGAGCACCCATGGATTTTTACATCCTCAGGAGTTCCTGTAACCAATATCCCATGGATACCGAGGCACAACTGTAAATACAAACAACTGTCAACTGTAGAGGTAAAAACTACTTCTCAGACATACTTTGTTACAAAGAGATGAACTCAGAAATCCCTAAAATCACTTAAAGGAACTAATAGAGAATTCATTTTTAAATAGTTTCAAATATTTCATACTCACAGCAATATTTCAGACATACTGGATCCTATTTCAGATTTGGCCTAAACACAAAAGACCAACGTTTATTTGCATAAGCATTAAACTGAAGTTTTATTAGGCTATTGTATTTTAACAATTGACTTAAAAGATATGGGTTTTCTTAAAAAAATTTTTTTTAATTTTAGGTTCCGGGGTACATGTGCAGGTTTGTAACACAGGGAAGTTGCATGTCAAGGGGGTTTGGTGTACAGATGATTTCATCACCCAGGTAATAAGCATAGTACCCAACAGGTAGTTTTTTTGATCCATTCCCTCCTCCTACCCTCTGCCCTCAAGTACACATGTGTCCATGTGTACTCAATGTTTAGCTCCCACTTATAAATGAGAATATGTGGTATTTGGTGTTCCGTTCCTGCATTAGTTCGCTTAGGACATTAACTCATTCCTTTTTTATGGCTGTGTAGTATTCCATGGTGTATATGTACCACATTTTTAAAAATCCAGTCTGCTGTTGATGGGCATTTAGGTTGATTCTATGTCTTTTCTATTGTGAATAGTGTTGTGATGAACATATGTGTGTATGTATCTTTATAGTAGAATAATTTATATTCCTTTGGATATATGGCCAATAATGGGATTGCTGGGTTGAATGGTAATTCTGTTTCAAGTTCTTTCAGAAATCACCACATTGCTTTCCACAATGGCTGAACTAATTTACACTCCCACCAGCAGTGTATAAGCATTCTCTTTTCTCCAAAACCTCACCAGTATGTTTTTTGACTTTTTCATATAATAACCATTCTGACTTGTGTAAGATGGTATTTCATTGTGGTTCCAACTTTCATTTCTCTAATGATTAGTGATATTGAGCACTTTTTCATATGCTTTTTGGCTGTGTGTATGTCTAAAAGATACAGGTTTTAAATGTACAATGTATCATTTCTCTTCACTCAAAGTCTTTAGTTCAGAGTCTTATTGAATTTTTAAAGAGAAGTCAGTGAAAACCAATTTGGACATCCTTTAGGAAGAATTTTAGAAGTAATAATTGGCAGGCTGGGCACGGTGGCTCACACCCGTAATCCCAGCACTTTGGGAGGCTGAGGTGGGCAGATCACGAGGTCAGGAGCTCGAGACTAGCCTGGTCAACATGGTGAAACCCCGTCTCTACTAAAAATACAAAAACTTAGCCGGGCATGGTGGTGCACATCTATAATCCCAGCTACTCAGGAAGCTAAGGCAGGAGAATCACTTGAACCCAGGAGGTGGAGGTTGCAGTGAGCCGAGATCGCACCACTGCATTTCAGCCTGAGCGACAGAGTGAGACTCTGTCTCAAAAAACAAACAAGAAAAGCGGTGGGCGCGGTGGCTCAAGCCTGTAATCCCAGTACTTTGGGAGGCTGAGACGGGCGGATCACGAGGTCAGGAGATCGAAATCATCCTGGCTAACACGGTGAAACCCCGTCTCTACTAAAAACTACGAAAAACTAGCCGGGTGAGGTGGCGGGTGCCTGCAGTCCCAGCTACTTGGGAGGCTGAGGCAGGAGAATGGCGTAAACCCGGGAGGCGGAGCTTGCAGTGAGCAGAGATCGCGCCACTGCACTCCAGGCTGGGTGACAGAGCGAGACTCCGTCTCAAAAAAAAAAAAAAAAAAAGGAAACAATTGGTTAGAAATCAGTTGAACTATTCCAGCAAAAATGATTTACATGTTATTAAATTAACAACCTTTTTATACTTCCATGATAGATTTTCCTTAAGCTCTTTATGAGCACTTTGATTAAAATTCATTACAACCTGTTCATCTATAATTTCACAATTATGTATGAATTATATAAATTTCAAATCTAAAATGGTCTTCAGACAATATTTTTATGGAATAACCAAAATAAGTAAAGCAGAATATAAATGTAAAGTATCAAACTCTCTAAGTCAAAATAATTAATATTTTTCCTTTTTATTATTCTATTTTATTATGAAACATCTCCTACATACAAAAAACATATATAATACATCTTTAAGGGTCAAAGAGCTTTTTAAAAATCTACAGATCCATCATTCAAGAAACAAAACCTCACCAAGATCATAAGGTATCTCACAAAGCCCTCAAAGACTTTTTCTCACTTATCCCACAGCAGTAACTACTACCTTGAATTTGGTGTTAATTATTTCCCTATTTTTTATAAATATATAGTTCTACTACTTTTGTATGTACCCTTTGAACAATAGATTGTTTAGTTTTTGCATGATTTAGAGTTCTGTATAAGTGGTATTATATATTACATACTCTTCTGAGACTTGCCTTCTTAAGTAGGACACAAAAGGACAAACCAAGAAAGAAAAACCTGATATAACTGTCTATATGAAAATAAAAAATCTTCTGCTTATCTTTTCATTTTCCAGATTATCTTTACTGTGACTATATTTAGTGTGTTCCCTTAATATGTCTTAGGAAAAGCAAGGCCTTTTGAACTTCTTTGGAGCACACTGTTTACATTTAGTGAACTCATATCTTATGCAGCATTTACAGGTATGTCTTGAGTTTTAAAAACTAGATGCTAACATAAACACTGTTCATGAAATATGTAAAAAAATAAATAATAAGAAGTAGTTTGGTCAAACAAAATGTTTTAAATTGAGGATGTTTTTTCCTTCGATCTTTTCCAAATAGTTTTATTCACAGATCAAGTGCCCATAGTGATTCACTGCTAACAAGACTGAAATTCTTCAACTGTAGGTGGAAGACTTTTTAATGATTGCTATCCTAAAAAGTATATTCAGGATATACAACTACATGATGTTAAGTGATTCCAACTTTTCTCTAACATATATCAAAGGCCCTATTCCAAGGGGCAAGTTTGTTACATAAATAACCAAAATAAAAATTTGATCCACTGTCATTGATAAATAGTTTTTTTAATCAAGGCCCAGGCAGAACACTGAAGTTTTGCCACTTGTTTCCTTAGAAGGGCTTTAAATCTGAATTTACCAGGCTGAAGGTTCCATATTCTTCCCTGAGAAAATGTGTCAAAAATCCTTGCAGCGTTGTCTGGTCTCCCCAGGTCCACCGGGCGTGATTAAGGTAAGATGAGATGGGAAGGTGGATATAGGGCAGCAAACCAGCAGAGAAGTACAGGCTCAACTTCAACAAAGAGCCCAGGGAGAGTTCCTGCATCAGAACACATGGGGTGGTAAAACAATGTTTATTTTAGTAGATTCATCCTGGAACTTCAAGAACATATCAAGGAAAACACCAAATATGTTTACTCAGAGCTGATCTCCCAATTTATATTAAGTCACCACAGAATACTATGTTAAACCTTCTGATTACTATGGATTACTAGAAAATTGCATCAGCCTGAACTCCTTTGCATGGCAGGTGAAAGCTGAGTGAAGCAAATAATATTAGCAAAGGCTCATGAGTATCATGTTTACTGCATCACTTACATTTAAAACCATGTCATGACAAGCAGCATTGCACAGCTAAGATAACCTGCTTGGAAGTGATTATATGTTGTTTGGCTGATTTTGAATATGCCCAAAATACAATTCTAAGACCAATTCACTTTATCATCATCATTAGGAGTAGACTTCAACTATATATATTATTATGATTATACGTTGACAATTCTTTCAACAAGGGTTTTGAACATTTCAATGTTGGCATAAATGAAACTAGCTTTTATATAAACTCCAAGCTCATTCAAATGTTTTTTTTGCCCCCTCAATTTACAATTAATTTCCCCTAACTAAAGAAAATTAGTTGTTATAAAAATGCTGCTTCATATAACTTATTTGGGAAAACATATTTCTCATTTGTAAAATACTTTTCTTAAAGGACAATATTGGCAAAGTTTTACAAATATTAAATCCAAAAGAATATGAATTCTGGTATATTCAATCAATTCCTGTGTATCTGAACCAAGATTCAAATACTGCTTACTTTAGTAACTGGGAGAGGTGGTCTCTCACAGATATCGTATTTGGAAATTGCCAATTTTTCCTTTAAAAAAAGAGAAATTCATATGTGAGAATGAATATAAGAATCAAGGTTCACATTCACCAGAGGCAGAACAAGCAGTTGATTTATATTAGCATTTTCAAATAAACATTCTTAATTGAAAATGAAGTGTTTTATTACAGTACTGATTTCATTTGAGATTTCTATAGCAGTAATGAGATGCAAAAAAATGATGGCATGAAAGGAGTGTAAGAAATAACTAATCTGCTGGGCGCGGTGGCTCACGCTTGTAATCCCAGAGCTTTGGGAGGCCGAGGCAGGTGGATCATCTGAGGTCGGGAGTTCAAGACCAGTCTGACCAACATGGAGAAACCCCGTCTCTACTAAAAATACAAAATTAGCCGGGGTGGTGGCACATGCCTGTAATCCCAGCTACTTGGGAGGCTGAGGCAGAAGAATCGCTTGAACCCGGGAGGCGGAGGTTGCGGTGAGCCGAGATCGTGCCATTGCACTCCAGCCTGGGCAAAAAGAGCGAAACTCTGTCTCAAAAAAAAAAAAAAAAAAGAAAGAAAGAAATAACTAATCTAACAACATGCCTTTGTTATTCTTAAAATTAGTTTTAAAGAAAGTAAATGCTTATTTTTGCAGTTTCTGCATATTATAAAGTTGAATTTAGAATGGTAAGATGAGTTGCTACAGAATTTTCCTTTTGTGTGAAAAACAAACAGGGAGACAATTGCATGAGAGTTATTGCAGAGTTGGGGAATAAGTGGTTCCTAATCCCAACTGCACATTAAAATCACCTGGGGAACTTTCTTAAAAATACTGATGTCTGGGCCTCACCCCAGACCATTTATATCAGAATTATTTTGGGGTAGAATCAAGTTTTAGCATAAATAAATAAATAAATAAATATACACACACACCCCTATGTATATATGTACATATAGATACACATACACATATGTACCTACATTACTACATACATAGGTACATCTGTGTATATATAGACACAAACAAACACGAACTTTTTATTAAAAAGTTTCTCAGATAAGTAAGCAGCCAGGGTTGAAACCAACTGACTCAGGACTTTCTGCTCTGTCTTAAATCACCTAACAGTGAGATCCAACTACCCTGTTACTTCATTGGTAGGCCTTATTTTCTAGCCTCTGCTTTTTAACTAATGGGAAATAAAGAGTCACAGTTCTCACAATTTCATCACACTCTGTAGCTTACCTCAGTACAGGGAAAACAGGCCCTTAGTCCGGCTCCAAAATTATCAACTCTGAATCCTCCATGTTTTACAGAAACTACATATCTCTCCTTTCAATCAACTAACATGAAATATGTGCTGAGAATGCACCCCTCTGACGTCTGTTCAGGTTAGAAGCCTGGCTAAGATGACTGAGACTAGAGGGAGATGTATCCATCCACCCCCACTGATTCACAAGAGAAATATTTGGGCCTCTTTCTTGTATTCCACAGAAAAGATTCACTGAGTTATATTTCATATCTCCATTTTTAATCAAGCGTTTATATAATAAAAGGCCATATAAAGAACTTACTATATACACTATAAAACCACTGTTAAAGACACTGCTTGTTATGCCGTTTAATAGGCTTTACATAAAGACCTACATGATTGACTTCACAAAATTCAGTGCCAACAAAAAGTTCTTTCCTGTCAACTGCTATGTTTCCCTTTTACTCATTTTATTTTATTTTTTTATTTTTATTTTTTGGAGACAGAGTCTTGCTCTGTCACCTAGGCTGGAGTGCAGCGGTGCAATACCGGCTCACTGCAACCTCCGCCTCTTGGGTTCAAGCGATTCTCCTGCCTCAGCCTCCCAAGTAACTGGGACTACAGGCGCACACTGCTACGCCTGGCTACTTTTTTTTGTATTTTTAGTAGAGATAGAGTTTCACTGTGTTGCCCAGACTGGTCTCGAACTCCTGAGCTCAGGCAATCCGCCTGCCTTGGCCTCCCAAAGTGCTAAGATTACAGGCGTGAGCCACCGCACCCAGCCCCTTTGACTTACTTTTAATCACATCATAAAAATTTTATAACCTCCATGTTACCCTTTTTGCTTTACTGTTAAGAAGCTAAAGTGTTCAAGTACAGTAAATAAAGCTATCTAAAGCTTTGGTATAATTATTTCCCTATCTCTAGATAATAATTTTGTTTTATATGTTTTCTATTGTAATTCTGATTATAGCTGGGTATAATGAACAAATAATAAAAGGATAAGTAAAGCTGAGTTTGTACACAAACAAACAAATAAGGTAAAAAGACTCTAGCGCTGGCTTTGTATATAGACTACTTTAACCTCTGGGTACCTAAATCTCTCATTGCCTAATGAAGTAATTTTCCTATGTTGCTTTATATTGCCATTTTAATTAACAATCATTTTTTTTTCTTTCAGAGAAGAAATAACAATAAATCCTTTTTAATTCTAGGGAATCTATTTTGAGAAAACAACACTGTTACCAGAGATTTTATTATTTAGTTCACAATAGCAGTGATGTCTGTTTTGTTGAGAGCTGACTCTTCAGCACCTGGAGCATGCATATGGCACAGGGCAAGGACTCGGCACACAGTTAAATAAATGAAGTATGATGGCACACCACTCTGTGTCTTAGAATGTATAAAACGATAATTAAGAAAATTTTATATTGTTGCTTTAAGTCCTTTCAGCCTACTTTCATTGAGATGCTATTCAGAATCAGTCACAAAATTATGGAACAGGCCAGATGCCACTGCAATCAATACCGCATAATTTTTGTAAATCCTATTTTTTTCAGTCAATATTGTTAGGCCCTAGGGTTATTTATGCTTTACATGAAACCCAAGAAAAATTAAAGTCTGAAATTTTCTCATGATAAAAATGTTACATAAAATCTAAGTAAAATATTGTACATTTTTATTTTTACAAAACTCAAAAACCTACCTTCTTTTTTAAAAGTTGAAAGAGAATCCAAGGTACTATGCACAAAACATAGAGTATTATTGTGTGCTGGTTACATAAGCTAAGGCCACAGCAGAAAGCACCAATTTTAGCTGTCTGAAAATAAATTTTAAAAAATTAAGTAAAAAATTCACCTAACACTCTAAGAACAATAATAAAAAGCCATTTTTATATTAAAACCAAGCATTTGTATCCTGTCAGGTTAAAATCAACCTCTAAGATGCAAGCAGTTATACTTTTAAAAAATAATCACTAATATTTGTTACTATTATTTTTGTTAATATTTTCCATGTTCATCAAATAATTGCAGTTTGATCTTAAATAACTGTTTTCAAACCAACTTTTAGAAAATCCTGTATGATAAACAGGTAAGTTGTAATAGTAATAGGGTATTGTGTAATGCTTATTCAATTAAATCTATAACTGAAATTCAGCAATTGTTTTTTCTCCTATTAAGCAAATGAAATATAGCCTGTTTTGTTTAGAAACCTGGTTATCTCTGGGTAGTGTTTTTCAGTTTTTTCAACATGTGTTAGTTTCATAATTGGCAAAGATTCTCTCCTTTGACCAAACTCAAGTCAGGCTCCTCTAAACTCTTCCCAATTAGGTCCTGACTTTTGAGTTTCCATGTTCATCTCTGCATTGTCCAGTTTTAGCATCAATCCTGTCTAGTCAGTTTAGCCAGAACCCTCATCCTCAATATCTGATCAAGTTCTTCATCCACTACCATTCCCTAGGTGATGTCTGATCACCCTGGCTTGCTTTTAGCAAGAATTCAGTCACTTTACCCTGATGTTTCCTCTCAGTAATTTTCCATCGACTGACTCCCATCCTGCTCCTTGGCTATAAATTCCCACTTTTCCTATTTGGAGTTGAGCCTGATTTCTTTCCCCTACTACAAAACCCCATTGCAGTTGTCCCTATACCTGAACCTGAACAGTGTGCCTTCTCATAAAAAGTCTATTGAATATTTTAACATAATCAGACATTTTTTAAGCCAAAAAAAACCCCTCTAATGGCATCACAGAAAACCACATATAAACCATGATGTTCTTTTGTTTCTACACTCTTTAACAACACAAAGCTGCCTATACTAAGTGATTTGGCATTTCCCAGTGTAGAGACTGTAGGTTCTTAGAAGATAGGGTTCTTTTACATGTCAAGTGATTCTGATGATAGTGTTTACCTTAAAATTCATTGTAATTTCTTCTGAACTACTTCATGGTTTACATTTGATACTTTTCTCTTAGTTAAGTAAATTACAAATTCAACATTTTTTGGCAATTAAAGAGCGAGTCAATGTATCCTAATTTAAGGGGGCCAGTCTAGAACTTGGCACTTTCTGATAACATACACAAATAAATGATGGTGAATTAACCAACAAGCCTATCTTTCCCACGGGACACACAGGGGATTTCATAATCCTCTCACTCTCCAAAAAACTTTTAAACTCTGAGGGAAGAAAAGCGCCATGTTTTATAAGGGCTATTGTGGTTCCATCCATAATTAAAAAGACTGAGATCATTTTCTCTCTCAACATGCCAGATTATCCTGACAGTAATCAGAACAGATAAATGGTATTTAAGCCAAGATTAAAAAGAAATACATCTGTCTAAAAATTAAAACAAAAACTGATTTCACTTTGATCAAAATAGGTTACCTTTGATCTCTCCTTAGCAGTTGCTGCTTCCTCAAAATGTACAGTAAGAGCCATAAGCAGCCCCACAAACAGATTGTTTAAGCTAAAAACCTCTGCTGCAATGGACCACTGCCATGTTAGACGAGAAAATGAAAACACCCCCGCAGCAAGGATTCCTCCAGCAGATGAGCCAGAAAGCCTGCAAACACAGATAACATGAAATCTTCTTTCCCAACAAAAAGAACTAACTTTATTTTCCTTTTTGTAAACTGTACCAGCAGAAATTATGACAGTCACCCAGCACTACTCCAACACATTATATGGTTAATACATTACCTCATATAATAATTTCTTTCAACAAATTTTAATTAGGAAGTTCATATGCTAACTTATTAATGAACAAATAAACAAACCTATGGCTAGAATGAGGTTCAGTCTTCAGATGTAACTGCTGGAATTCACGCCAGTTCAGAAAACCTGAAGACATAGTAGCTAGAGAGAGAACAAACCTGTGTCATTTTCTTGCTCTATCCATGAAGAAGGATGGTCTAGTGAAGACCTAAATGTTTGATTGTAAAAATTAATGAAATGAAAAAATATTTATTCAGGAAAATGCATTCTCACTTCAGGTACAATGTTTGGACCCAGGTACCTTTTATTTTCATCTCTCAGCATATGCCAAAGAATGTCTTGATCACAATATTTGATGATTTCAATATCTTATATTGTGCAGTTCTTAGTTTGCGAGGGTTTTTTCTTTAGACAAAGTTGAAGTTAAAACTAATTTTTTTCTCTAAAGATGGGAATGTAAATTTCAATAACACCAGAAGAATCAGATGCTACACTTAAAAACAAATTTCTCACCCACAAATGCCAACAAAACCCATACCATTCAAAACAATCAGGAATCTGGATCTCAGTTCAGAGATTTGATTTGAGACTGGTAGTGTGGTTGAATTTACTAATGCATATCAAACCAAAACAAGTTTCTATTTCCTTATAAATCTAAAGCTATGAAAATGAAAGTGATTATGAAATGCCTATTTCTAATAGTGTTAGAAAATTCAGCAAGCATTACTGCGTCTAACAATTACCATATTCTATAGCTCCAAATCATCAATTTTCAACTATATTCTTTTGTATAAAAAGTTACAGAGTAGTTCTATGGCTTTTAGTCAATCATTATTTTTAAATGATTACATAAAAATCTCAATATCAGTAAACCTCTTTTTTCTTTGAGTTTCTGTTTGCAATTTATTTCTGTTTTCTTTCTCTTATAAAAATCAGCAGTTTCCCATTTCTTTCAGCTTCCCAGTCTTCCAGTGATCCTGATTCAACATATTATTTCTTTCTTCCAAATTACTTTCCTGTGTACTCATTCCTTTCTATTTGTATTTTTACTGCCTTAAACTTAATTATTTTAAGAATTCCCTAATTTGTCTTCTGGTTTTCAATCTATTCTGCAATAATAACATCATATCAAGTTTCCTAAAACATATTCTTTATGACTACCCAGCCCAAAAACTTAAGGACTCTCCACTGCTTGAGGGATAAGTTTTAAATCAGACTGCCTGGAATCCAGGTTTCCAATAAACTAGCTCCCACTCACTCACTAATGATCAACATTATTCTCTCCACCCATTAGTCAGGCTCATCAAAACTTCCTAAGGCATGCCTATGCCTAGTACTATACTTTTGCTCATTCTGTACCCCTGAATCTAATGTCCTCCCTCCTCCTTTCTATTTATTTAAATCCTACTTCTTTCTCAAATGTTTCTTCAATTCCTAGGTTTCAGCCCATTCTGTACATCTATAGTATTTGTCTGTAACAATTACTTTAACACTGTTTTTGAAATGTGAATTGGAGTTAAATTTCATTTATATTGGAAGTATCTAGCCCCAAACACACAAAGGAAACTTAGTGAATGAGAGAACAAGTTAAAGTATTTCTAACATTTTTAAAGGAACTTCTATGTTTCATATGTCAATATTATTTGGGAAAGTCAGCATAAGATACAAGATTCCTTCCTCTACTTAAAACCGAAATTAGCATCCTTGGAGAAATGGCTGATACTAGAGCTGGAGTAGCTCTAGCACAAAATTAGTCTGAAACATCTTGTGCCGGAAAGTCAAGAAGTGCTCAAAGAATGATGGGGGCATGACACAAGGACACAGGAGCCAGCTTAAAGAGAAGGACATCATTGGCCTTTCCATAGACAGCCAACTAATAATTGTAGAACAAATGATGGAATTAGAAACCACCATTTGGCAGCCATCTGAATAATAATCAATAAATACCAAAACTAGTGGGTAAAAATTTTGGAGTAGCAGAATATGTATAGTCTCAAGGTACTGCCCTATAAATAGATGAATTACCAAGGGAAAAATGGTAACTTTACAGTGGTGAAAACTGTCAGACACAATCTTAACCACGTGACTAAAATTAACAGCATTAGTAATAGGACAAACATCATATGCTTCCCAATCTATTCCAGTGAAAAGAATACAGCATCATTTCTAAGCATTCCTGTAGAAATGTGTTACCTGAAGCAAAGCGGAATAAAATCCTGATATAAATGAATCCTCAGGAAGAAAACTCAACATTCACTAATCTACAATGACTTTTAACACATATTCTTACACTCAGAAAGGCATCCTAGGCCTGGCGCAGTGGCTCACACCTGTAATCCCAGCACTTTGGGAGGCCGAGGCAGGCGGATCACGAGGTCAGGAGATCGAGACATCGAGACCATCCTGGCTAACATGGTGAAACCCCGTCTCTACTAAAAATACAAAAAAATTAGCCAGGTGTGGTGGTGGGCACCTGTAGTCCCACCTACTTGGGAGGCTGAGGCAGGATTAGAATTATGAACTACATTAACTGTCTTTTCAAATATTTCATAAGGTTTTAAAAATTGAAGAATATAAGGTAAAAATTTTGACTTCAATGATGACATTTATCTAGTTACCTTAGATTGTTACACAAAGTTAGGTACATGAGTGTTTTACTGAAGACTAATCCCATATCAGCAAGGTCTATAATCTGAATTCTCTCTCTCCGTCTCTCCACTAAGGTCAAGATGGTTTTGCAATAAATAATCCATGTACTCTTTCACCTGATTTCCTTGGCATTAGAGAAATAATTTGTGAGACCGCTGAGTCGAATAGTAGAAGACAAGGTAACTGATTATGAAATCAGTAATGGGACTCAAATCTAAAATATCAACCTTTTTAGCATCGGATAAACTTGCTCGGAAATCAAACTAAATCTACAGGAATTTGCCTTGTAGTCCTAATGTATGGCACACAAAAGCGTAGTGGATCTTTCAATTTGTTTGTTTCCCAACAGCAGCATATGAGGGTCTGATGTTTCCACATCCTAGTGGGCACTTACTATCTAGTTTAAATCTAGCCACCCTAGTTGGTGTGAAGTGGCATCTCACTGAAGTTTGGATTTGCATTTTCCTAATGGCTAATGCTGCTGAGCATCTTTTTCTGTGTTTATTGGCCATTTGTGTATCTCCCTTAAAGAAATGTCTATTCAGATCCTTTGCTCATTGCTTAAATTGGATTATCTTTTTATTATTGAATTGTAGAGTCCTTCCCAACTTCCTTTTACTATGTTTCTTTTCAGCTAACCACAGCCAGAGTCACCTGCTTGCAACCAAGAACCCTGACTGAAACACACTATCTTCTCTCTTTAGTATACTTCCCATTATTTTTTCAAGGAAAAGTGTGAAGAAATTCTGAAAATAAAATGCTCCTGTTCTCCTAGTCTTGTGCAAAACAGAAGAGAGGAAGCATGCCTCTAAGAGCAGAAAGTCATGTGTACATCCATATATAAGATATACAGACAGTGAAATGTTTTGGAGGACCCAGTATTCATGTTTTCGTACAATAATCTATATGGGGTAAGCCTGTATGAATTTCTTTGATTTCAATAGGATTTTATAAGTCAAACTCTGAATGCTCCTTAAAGTGCACATATTTCAACACACTGCCTTTAAAAGTTTACTTTATGACAGTTAATATGTAGGCTATTTACTGCTTATTTAAATGTTGACCAAATTATCTACTGCATCTGACTAATCATCATCTCTTTTCATTTTGGAAGAAAAATTATCCAAATAATTTGTAAGACCCAGTGACTCTGGATTTTTCTGAAGAGGACGATAGACAATTTAGACAATAGATTCTAACATTCTCTAAAAAACTTGAGATGCTTGAACTACCATTTTGTATGGGTTTATGTTGTATTTAGTCCAAGTAACACATACATGTTTAATTGATTCTGTTTCCAAAGATAGGTTCAGCTAAGTCTTCCAAATCAGGAGGTTGTTTGTTTGTTTTTGTTTTTCCTTCACACCTTATCCAGTTATGCAGCAACAAAAACAGACTGAAGATCATGAGCCAGTTTACCAGAGCTATATATATAATAAGACTCCTCTGCTAATACAAAAAGATGTTTAAGTTTACTTCATGCTAAGACTCAGAATCAATCAACTGTTACTTGCCATGTAACATATACAAACTAGTAGATTAAGAGGTTGAAATAACTTGAAACATCTGTTATGGAAAAATTCCACAGTTCAAGAGGGATACACACAAGGCTTTATAGGTAGAAATTAATGCTCAGCTGAGTTTGAAGACTACAGCGACTGTGGAGATGGAGCAGCAGCGTCAGTACACATGGCTATGGATAGGTCTGCAGGAGCCTGAGCCAGGCTTTATTATGATAATAAAATAAAATACTATTTTATCCTGGAGAAGCTGGATGGAGCCATCCTTTGGGGCTTTACTAGGTCAGAGGGACAGAAGGGCAAAAGGACAGAAGGACAAGAAGGAGAGTTAAAGTAATGAATCATGGGGCCTAGACTGAATAGAAAAGGAAGTAAAGAGACAGTGTGAGCCATCAATGAAATGAGTGAAATGAAAGCTAAAGTCATACCAGGGAGTAAAAAGTAGGTTGAAGAAGGGAACATCAAATTGTTAGTGGATGGAACAGGCCAGTTAAATAAGATTAGACTCTACTGTTGAAAGCAGCCAACGATGGAACAGAGTTTTAGAAAGCTATTCTCAAAATACTAAGATTTTCAATAAACTAAGTATTTGCCCTGAAAGTCTGCCAGTGGTTGGTACATGTGCACTAGTAAGTCTGCAGGCTGAGAGCAACGTAGAAATAAGGTCTGTGGCCCACTG